AACACATGATTTTATATTCTGGTACATATTATAAATAACTTTAAAACAGTTTCCAGATATGTTATTTTGTAATGGTTTTTTGCCAAAGTCCTGATCGCCAAACTGTGTCAAATGCTTTCTGAAAATCTACAAATGCACAAAATAATTTCTTTTTCCTAGCTTTCAATAATTCCATGAGGTTATATAGAGCAAAGATGTGATTACTGGTAGAGTAACCCTTTCTGATATCGCCTGAGCTTCCGACAATATGGAGTTCGTTTCGATGAATGTTTGTAAACGGTTATTTAAAACTTCTGTGAAAAGCTTACCAAAACAGCTTAGCAGGGTGATAGGTCTGTAATTTTCGGGGGTTTGTGGGCCACCTTTACCCTTAAAAATGGGTTTGATAACACCTACTAACCATTTTTCTGGAAATGTACCAGTATCAAGAACCATGTTAAAAAGTTTGATATAAATATCTATGAAGACATCAATTGTGTTTGAAATATATTCGTTAATTATATTATCAAGACCAGCAGCTTTTTCACCTCTGACTTGTTATAGCTGCATTAAGTATTGTGCTTTCTTCCATGTTTACTTTACGTAGATTATCAATATCAAAGTCGTCATGTGCCGAAACTTCATTTAAAGATTTAAAAAAGCTGAATAATGCTTAACTATCTGGTAGGTTTTCATCGACAGACTGCCTTTGCTTAAGAAGTTTCCAAAATAAATAGGGTCATTTCTTTCAACATTTTATAATTTGTCTTAAAGTTTTTTTAAAATGCACATTTGAAAATGTATGAATGCAGTTTTTATAACTTTTACTTGCATTAACTAGTCGTTGTTTATTTTGAAATGTTTGACTACGTTTGAAATATTTCTTGGCCTAAAAGTATTTTCCATGGGCGATTTTACATTGTTTACCAAACAAAATTATAGTTCGCTTGTGGGGTGTTGATTTTCTCTTACTCTTTTTAACAAATCCGAACACTTTGCCAGCAGTACGAAGAAGCACATCACTTTTTTTTGTCATTTACGTTTGTTATAACATCAATCGGCTTAAATAATCAGCACAAAGTAGCTCAGATTCAGTGGATTGTATAAGCTCTTTGTTAATAGAGTCGACATATCCAGTAGCCAGCGTCCTATTCCATTTTCTCAGGCGGGGGCTTGTGTCGTTCTCTGGTCTCAACGGTTAGTGTTACAGTGATAGGTGAGTAGAGTGGAGCCGTGGAGCCAAGCACCGGGGACACAACGAGGCTCCACAGGAAGGCTTTTCTTGATGAGCATTAGGAGGTCGGGATAGGGAATATGACTTCAGTCCTCAGGGACGGGAAGGCCACGAACCATATTTCTATGTTTTCAAAATTCAAACCATTGTCATTAGTCAATTAAAATCTGAAATTCCGCAAAAACGGACTGTCAAATGAAGCTGATGCTCTAATTTTAAACTGAGTAAGATCGGTCAAACAGGTGAGAAGACTTTCATCACGCCTTATTTCAGGACTGGAATGGACCCAGCTACTACAGCCGACGACTTAGAAACACAATTCTTAGCATACATGAACAAAATCCGTTGCGAAATTTCAAACTTTATCGCAGTTCATCCTACATTTCCCTTTCTAGTGAGCTAAAACACAAATGTATTCTGTTAAATATTAATAACACAGAGGATGTGAAATGTTTTCTGTTGTCTGTACTTGCTTATCTGCACCTTGTTGGGTCAGAGCGTGTGCGGCAACAAGTACATGGTTACATGGCTTTAACTTTCCCACGCCGTTGAAATATGGCTTTGAACGTATGACTCTATTAGCTGTACGTGTGTACGGGTAGGAGAAAGACACCAGGTTCCCCGCACGTTAGCGATCAAACGGATCGCGTAGCAAAGTAGGGTGGAAGATAACTTACCCTGGACGCCCGATATCGATGAAGAATAGCCGTTCTATGACAGGGACGTCTCACTTCCACTTCATAACCAGTGCGACAGAGTTGGTGAGAAAATGTTGCAAATGTTTGTGGACGTTTACTTCAGAACAACGTTTAGAAAAGTATATGACGCGTTATAAGGATAAAGTTCAAACAGTTCAAATGCACAGGCCAGATAAAGCCTCGCGAGAGAGGTAGGTTGTTTGTTTTCTTTATGTCAACGGGTCAAGGGGTCTTATTTGTCGACTGTGGTGATTTTCAATGGATTCTCGAGCCGGTGGATACCCAACGCATTCAACATCACGTGCCATGTGGTTACGCTTACAAACTGACATACTTACCCAATCGTTTCTGTTCTGCAGGTGATGAACACTTCATAATCTGCTCGGCTGTACCAGTCCCCAAATATGACCGCTTTGCTGAATACATGAAACACTGTTCGGCACAAATCTATTGTCAAGACTTACCATCGACATGAGAGTGGTGTTGACTGAATAACAGTACGAACCTATCTGCTATCATTGTTGCCATGGTGAGACATTCACGCACACAAACGTTATCACAACTTGATGCTCTGCATCTTCCCGAGGCAAGATCGTTAACTGACTATAAAAGTCCTGTTTCCACCCTTACCGAACTGGGGCTGGAATTTCTCGGCGTAGAGCCACCAGTAAGTATTACGATTTATGTCCCTTCTTTGTTTCTACTATTGACCAATCTGATTTCATTTATCATATCACTTACATTATCTTCAAACAAAACAGCGGCGCTCACACTAGACGACATGCTCGGTGGTCAAGATCTGTATTGTAATCAAACGGGGCTTACCCAAAGAAGTGCATCAAATCACGTGAGCACCTAGATAAAAAACATAAGAATTTGCGAAATATCTGTCGACGCCCAGTTGGCGGTACACATGCTTTGCAAATCCTGCAGTCGACCGTAATCTGCACGTTTGAAATCCATGTTTGCGAACCGGATGTCTAGTGCGTTACGCGATTTGGATTGGACTTAGATAGACTAGTTAGTCAAGTCAACATTTAACTCCACAATTGCAGCCTAGTTCGGCAAGGCTGGAAACTGAACTTTTATCGTCAGTTAACCCCCTTGCCCCTTGAGAAGATGTTTGCTCTGATGAAAGGCTGTTGAATGGAAAGACAAACGAATGCATACATGCATAAAAGACCGAAAATATGTTCTAAATTCATAGGCAATTGAAAGGGTAAGTGAAGCTGATTTGTTAGCTTAGCTTTTGGTATCACATCTATAATTAACATATAAAATGATTGGCTAGGCTATACAGAGAAGGGCATTCACACATTCTATTTGATGATGATCATTCGAGAGTATCAGAAGGAATCAACCTGGCTACCTTTCTAAAATTCAGTGGCATTCCTAAAGAATTCCTATGCTAAGGTATTTAAATACATTCTTCACATTCAACGGGGATGTGAAATCTCCGCGGAAACGCGGAAAATCGCGTTTTTTAAAACAGTAGTCCTCGGAAAAAATCATCTTCCGCGTAAAAATATAATCAAAGATTTTTAAAAAAAACACTCTGAAAATTATGATCGAAAACCGGACAACCGTCGCGGATTGTTCTGTTTTCGACCAGAGCTTTCAGCAGCGTAGGTTTTCGGGTATCATACGTTTTCTATCACGAATACTTGCACTATAACGTGGGGTGTGGCGTCACACAGAAATTGTAAATACTCTGAGTCAGATGATGGCTTGTTTTTAAGATAAATTTGTCTTTTAGCCTGTAAGTGAATGAGATGATTTACAGTTGTTCATGTGATTAGCGAGAAAACTATGAATGTTTCTTCAGCGTCCAAAATCCCATAAGGTGGGGGTATATGTTGTATTAATGTCTTATGTTTGCAATGGAGTTTTGGTTTTTTTCAACAAAAGGTAAGTAAGTACAAGGTAAGTTTTTTTCAATATGCTTCAACATGGGGAAAGGGTCAGACATTGCACGCTTGTGACAGTTGTCCTTGTGTCTGGGGGATGGGGGTTGAAGTTTATGGCAGTATTGCTCCCAGACCTAAAATTGGGCTTCACACATTGTACCTGATATGATACTAATTTCATGACTAGTGACCTTAAACTTTAAAGACAACCAATGATTTTTAATGGTGTTTCTTAACTCTGTCAAGTTAAGTAAGCATGTGGACAAAACTGAATATTCACCTGATTACAAACACCTTAAACCAACGTCATGACATTCCCTTTCAAGTTCATGATTAAAAGCTTACTGTGAGGAAGGACCTTATGAACATCCTCTGAACATTCAAAACATTATGTTCAATGGGCTGTGTGGAAGAGAATGTTGCAGTGTTTGCGATTGTGAATTGAAAAATAGAAATCTCCCTTTGTGTTCATTTCGGAGCCCTCCTGCTTTGTACCCCTGTGGGGCATCTACATAGATGGGTTGTTGTTTGTTTGGTTTGTTTTTTTATTTGTCTTTTTTATTCTTTTTATTTTTTTAAATTATATTTAATTTTTATTTTTTGGAGGGGGGGCTGTTGTTTAATATTGCACTTAGCAATAATCCAGCAATATGACAGTGGTTTGTAAATGTTCAAGCCTGAGCCAGAAAATCCAGTGATTGACACCATGAGCCCAATCTACGCAATTGTGATATGATGACATGCATCGACCCAATCCTGTTAGTCGCCTCTTTCAACAATTAAGTATGGGTTGCTGAAAACCAATTCTAACCCAGGATCTGTACAGAGATGAACAAAAAGTAAAAGACACATGTAACATAGAAGAGGCTTTATTCATGTTATCAAGTCAACTTGATTTCACTTAACAAAAGAGAAAGCTCTGTATAGCAGGAACTAACATTAAACCGATAACCAGCACTTAGGTAATTTGATCCTGTGTCAAATGCATGTATGTTTGTTGTTAACTTCCTTTCAGAATACAATATGTCCACTTTATATTTTAAATTCATTTCCAAACCCATATAGATAAAGATGTTTCTTTTTCAATTTTAGTAGAATCTAAAAACTAAAAAATGATTTATTATTCTCACACCATGTTAGAATTACCTGAAATTTCTTGCTTCATCAATTTCCGTGCCAACATTTTCTGCAGACATATTTTCTGCATTCACTGGCAGCAACAATGTGAGATTGCATGAAATAATTCACAGATATGTCAATGGCAAAATGATGCATTGAAGCCAAGGTATATCCCTGTGCTTTGACGTTGTATTAAGTGGTAAGGTCTCCTAATGCCTGCAGCAACATGAAGAGTTCTTGAAATAATTGATTACCTCCTTTTTCTTATGTCATAGCAAACTACAAGATGGATGCAGAACAAAACACTTTTGCATCTTGGCCCTCCAAGGATAACTACTTTCACTGCAGCAAGATGGTCAAATCTACAGGCACTTTGAAATCGACCCACCCAAGTCAACATTAGAGTTATTAAATTCCACTGATTTAAAATGAAAGTTCCAATTTTGATTAAACTCTTCAGTAACCATTCATGCTCAACAATACAAATATTTAAACCATGTAAAGAGTAGCACAGACAAAAATGCAAGCATGGTGAGTGATTTTCATTTTTTACTGATAGGTTCAACTACATAACAAATATTTAACACTTGAAAAGAGCAAAATCCTTCAATACATATATTTAGTTATTTATACTTTGTTTTTTGCGCCATTATGATGATGTCCAGTTTACATAAACCTCACAAAAGGCAGGAACAACTATGAACCATACACCACAGCACACACTAACACATTTCTCTGTTCAAAGAATTACCTTATGTTTGAAAATGATGTCAAAATATTCCATGGGTACCTGTGTCAACTTCTAATGCAGGTCTTTCAAATCCACAATGTTTCAATGTTAGAACCTATATTCAGATCCTACACTACTCCTGCTTCTCATACAAACAGTATGGTTGACGTGGATTTACAGGACATACTACTAATCAGAGGGGAGATAGTGGGATTTATTGTAACTACCAGGTACCCATCATAGAGGCAGATGGAAAGAGATAGGGGGATGTATTCCAACCACCAGGTACCCATCAAACAGCTGACTTAACAGAGATAGGGGGATGTATTCCAACCACCAGGTGCCCATCAAACAGCTGACTCAACAGAGATAGGGGGATGTATTACAACCACCAGGTACCCATCAAACAGCTGACTTAGCAGAGATAGGGGGATGTATTCCAACCACCAGGTACCCATCAAACAGCTGACTCAACAGAGATAGGGGGATGTATTACAACCACCAGGTACCCATCAAACAGCTGACTCAACAGAGATAGGGGGATGTATTCCAACCGACAGGTACCCATCAAACAGCTGAAATAACAGAGATAGGGGGATATATTCCAACCACCAGGTACCCATCAAACAGCTGAAATAACAGAGATAGGGGGATATATTCCAACCACCAGGTACCCATCAAACAGCTGACTCAACAGAGATAGGGGGATGTATTCCAACCACCAGGTACCCATCAAACAGCTGACTCAACAGAGATAGGGGGATGTATTCCAACCACCAGGTACCCATCAACCAGCTGACTTAACACAGATAGGGGGATGTATTCCAACCACCAGGTACCCATCAAACAGCTGACTTAACAGAGATAGGGGGGTGTATTCCAACCACCAGGTACCCATCAAACAGAAAAGTTAATAGATAAGGGGATGTATTCCATCAAACAGAGTTATCAGTGATAGATGGATATGTTCCAACTACCGAGTACCCATTAGACAGCTGAGTTATCAGAGATAAATGGATATGTTTGAACTACCGAGTACCCATTAGACAGCTGAGTTATCAGATAGATGGATATGTTCCAACTACCGAGTACCCATTAGACAGCTGAATTATCAGATAGATGGATATGTTCCAACTACCGAGTACCCATTAGACAGCTGAGTTATCAGATAGATGGCTATGTTCCAACTACCGAATACCCATTAGACAGCTGAGTTATCAGATAGATGGATATGTTTGAACTACCAAGTACCCATTAGACAGTTGAGTTATCAGAGATAAATGGATATGTTTGAACTACGGCGTACCCATTAGACAGCTGAGTTATCAGATAGATGGCTATGTTCCAACTACCGAATACCCATTAGACAGCTGAGTTATCAGATAGATGGATATGTTTGAACTACCAAGTACCCATTAGACAGCTGAGTTATCAGAGATAAATGGATATGTTTGAACTACGGCGTACCCATTAGACAGCTGAGTTATCAGATAGATGGATATGTTCCAACTACCGAGTACCCATTAGACAGCTGAGTTATCAGATAGATGGATATGTTTGAACTACCAAGTACCCATTAGACAGCTGAGTTATCAGAGATAAATGGATATGTTTGAACTACCGAGTACCCATTAGACAGCTGAGTTATCAGAGATAAATGGATATGTTTGAACTACCGAGTACCCATTAGACAGCTTAGTTATCAGATAGATGGATATGTTCCAACTACCGAGTACCCATTAGACAGCTGAGTTATCAGATAGATGGATATGTTTGAACTACCAAGTACCCATTAGACAGCTGAGTTATCAGAGATAAATGGATATGTTTGAACTACGGCGTACCCATTAGACAGCTGAGTTATCAGATAGATGGCTATGTTCCAACTACCGAATACCCATTAGACAGCTGAGTTATCAGATAGATGGATATGTTTGAACTACCAAGTACCCATTAGACAGCTGAGTTATCAGAGATAAATGGATATGTTTGAACTACGGCGTACCCATTAGACAGCTGAGTTATCAGATAGATGGATATGTTCCAACTACCGAGTACCCATTAGACAGCTGAGTTATCAGATAGATGGATATGTTTGAACTACCAAGTACCCATTAGACAGCTGAGTTATCAGAGATAAATGGATATGTTTGAACTACCGAGTACCCATTAGACAGCTGAGTTATCAGAGATAAATGGATATGTTTGAACTACCGAGTACCCATTAGACAGCTTAGTTATCAGATAGATGGATATGTTCCAACTACCGAGTACCCATTAGACAGCTGAGTTATCAGATAGATGGATATGTTCCAACTACCGAGTACCCATTAGACAGCTGAGTTATCAGATAGATGGATATGTTTGAACTACCAAGTACCCATTAGACAGCTGAGTTATCAGAGATAAATGGATATGTTCGAACTACCGAGTACCCATTAGTACCCATTATCAGATAGATGGACAACCCCTATTTTTACCCTTCTAAACATGTTGAGGAAACAAAAATTATTTGGAATTTTAAGGTTTTGGACCAACCGACATGAATTTTTGGGCAAAAGCACCTCTGAACCAAAACTAAAAGCCTGGCCTTACTGTAATTACATAGTTGGTTGCACAAGTCCTACAACAGTTAACTGTATAGTGACCTTTGTATGAATAACTGTGAATAAAACAACCTATTTTACAGTTTTACCTTTTGACAATCAATAAAGTATTTATACAAGATTTTCATACCAGTACTCTTATATGATTATAGGGCGTTCAACAAAAGATCATTCACAGACATTGATAAGACCATAGAAAACAGGATGATCTAAAATCGATAACTACAAATATACTAAAAGATATTTGGATTAAACTCAACAAAAACATGACTAGAAGGATAAAATGATTTGGAATAACAAATTCTTGAAGTCTGGAAGATGAAGTTGATGAGATATGAATTAAAACCATCTGAACAACCCTCATTTCTTGCTTGATGCTGCAGCAATGTAGAACATCATCACAGAAAGTTTGGTTTCAAGGAGTTTAAAGTCATCAGCAGAAGTAATTTTGCTAATGTGACGAGTGAAATTCCTGAGATGAGACTTGATTCTTTGGAAAATGTACAGATCATCCTCTTCATCAACTGTTTCCAACATGGCCTCATGGCTTCCAAGTGAAATTAGTTTACTCTTGTCTCCATGGAAGGCTGTTTCAGCGTTGGTCAAATCTTCTTGAAGAACTTTCCGCTTGCCCATATCATAAGAGTCGAATATTGCCGGTTGTTTTCTCACCCTGGTTGACACTCGTCCAGGCCGTTGGTTCTCTTTCACTGCCACCTCAGGTACAACCTTGACAGTGTGAAAAGACACTGGTCTGGTCTGCTGCGTGTGTGTCTGGTGTGTGTGTGTCTGCTGCATGTGTGTCTGCTGCATGTGTGTCTGGTGTGTGTGTGTCTGCTGCGTGTGTGTCTGCTGCATGTGTGTCTGCTGCGTGTGTGTCTCGTGTGTGTGTTTCTGCTGCGTGTGTGTGTGTGTCTGCTGCGTGTGTGTCTGGTGTGTGTGTGTCTGTTGTATGTGTGTTTGGTGTCTAGACAGGAGTCTGCTGGCGTGAATGTAGGACAGGACAAGGTGAGTAACCAGAGTGACATATAGACGGCAATCTGTGATGTCAGCCATCGCCTCATTGCCTTCCTCACCCAATACTTGTTGATACAGGAAGGGGGCTGGCATGAAGTCTATCTTGTGAGATCTGGGAGAGTCCTGAGACTCTGAAAGGAGAAGTGATAGAAATTCTAAATCCATCTCTTAGAATCAACAGAATATTGATCATTTTGAACAGGCCTTAAGGTTGCGACTAAAACGGTCGCCAATGCGACCTAAATTTCAATTTGTCTTCTGACTAAAATTCTGAGGTCACCAAATGACTACCTTGAAAAATATCTTGTGGCGACTAAATGCCATTGCTTCATAGACACAAACATGAATAATTTTATTGACATTTGCGACGCCGTTGTCTTGATCGCCAGAGTTTTCACAGTCGCAATGGAGCGCATATACAGTTCTCATCGTCTGTTTCATTAATATTCCCATAGCTCAAAGCAGCATTACGAGTGATTCGGTTACATAAACTCTTTCAACCCCATAGGCCAGTTAATGGCCAAGAAGCCTCGAGTCCCCAGACACCGCGGGCCGGCTGACCGGCCAAGATGTAGTCACGTCAAAATAGTACATAACTTTAAAAACCTACCTGTCATATTGTTCATTCATTAAATCTATCACATTTCACAATGTCTGATATACATATTCCATTTCAATTTATAATTTTTCATCAATAGATTAAAAAATTATTCACTTTTTCCTGCAATGTTATTGAAAATAAAATTCTCGGACACACACTTCGACAACGGGTCCACATCGAACATGTCAAAGAGCAAAATAAATTTGTTTCAAGCAAATCTCTAAATATATTATACAAAGTAATAAATACAATGAACAAAAATATTTCTTAAAGTTGTCAAACATACATCTAAGTTATTATCTCCATCTTTTCGTGCAGTCACGTGTAGTGTAAGTCAAATGACATCTCGGTTTTCGTCACCTCGGTCGAACACGATGTTTAATGCCAAAATATATGCATGAAAAAGCTTTGTCACAGCTCGTAACCTAGCATGATACATCCATGTAGTTCCATATTGTTAATATAGATTGTGATTTCCTGCTTAAAAACATTAGGAATAACAAGATTTAACAAGAGTTTGCCAGTAACGTGGCTATATCCCCCGCCCTTGTTGCAGAATTTATGACATAATTAAATCTAAACAAACCCTAACCTTTTTTAATCGAGGTTGAACTTGTCATGGAAATTGTAAAAAAAAGATGAGTTTGGAACCTAAGTCCATCTTGTTGCCATGGAAACGTAAAAAATAAATATTTCTAAAATCTAAATAGCAAAAGGCACCAGTTCAGCATGTACCTGACAGACCTGCAAAGTTTGATGACAAAATATTTAACGGTTTATGACTTATGCTCCGGAAACGAAACGTGATGGACGGACGGACGGAGCCCGTTTCTATATCCCCCGCCAACTTCGTTGGGCGGGAGATAACAAAAATCCTTTGTCAAAATCTGAAATTCATCACACAAGGGGGACAGAGAGTAGCTGTAATTTGATTTGCTGCCTTAGGTCACATGCTCCAATTTGACAATCACGAACCTTGTAGCAGATTTCGGCAAGAAAGCGTCTTTAGAAGCCAATTTTTATCCAATAAAATTCCATGTTAGTACAGATACAAAAAGACTTCAGGTGATGTTATGTGTAGATTAAAAAACAAGCTTTCTAGCGGTGTGTCATATGAGAGTCTTCGACAAATCTGTTTGTCACACGAAGTTTCGAAAACGGAGGTGTTTCTTCATGTTACTGAGCGCCTTTTGTGAGAAATAAATTATCTCATTGTTGCTAATTTAACAAAAGAGTGAACCTGGAACAATATTCATTGCATAATGAAATGGTAACACCATTTACAACACTGGTATTCGCTTTTAATATCTTATCACTTTGAATATTTTTTATCTAAGATGTAATTACTATTTTATTTTAGTTGACAATGCTCATTAGATAAGCAAGGATATACGTTATCGTGTAAAATAAACTGCATCATTCGAGTTACAAATGACAAAAATCAAGTTCACTAATATACAGTTTCAAGCCTAGTGCTATGTGCTACTTGTACATATTATAATAGTTATTTGATAAAATTTTGGCTTGTCTTGTTGATTTTACCACTGGCTACCTGGAAAAATATACATGTAGCCATGTGGCTACTTGTTAAAAAATTAAACTTTGAGGCCTGATCAGAGATTTGGGAGCAAAAAGGCTTTCCAAACACTGATGTGACAAAGGCCCCGTGGGTTCATTTTAATAGGGAGACAAGTTGAGTGAGAGGGTTGGGCTTAGTGCAACTTTGAATACTTTTTCAATGACAGCATGTCAGATGAATGGGTCTAGAGCCTCAGGGTGCATATGTATTCTGATGACACCTGTTGTATGATAGTTACCCTGAGAGGAGTGGAAGTCCATGCCCCTGTGTTTCATTGGAGTTGGCAGCGTGGTCAGCAGTGTCCGCATACTGGGAGTCCTGGCCAGGTCGGACGGACACTGACCCCTTGAAGTCTTAGCCGTCAGTAAGCTGGGCCCTAAAACAGAGCATGCACACTGATTTGAACCAAATACAGCATGCATACTGAATTGAACCCTTACATAGAGCATGATTGCTGATTTAAACCAACAAACAGATCATGCATACTGACTTGACCCGATAAACATAGCATGGACTGATCTGAATCTAGAAACAGAACATGGATACTGATTTAAACCAACAAACAGAGCATGCATACTGACTTGACCCGATAAACATAGCATGGACTGATCTGAATCTACAAACAGAACATGCATACTGACTTGACCCGATAAACATAGCATGCACTGATCTGAATCTACAAACAGAGCAGGGATACTGATTGGAACATACAAACAGAGCAGGGATACTGATTGGAACATACAAACAGAACATAGATACCAATTTGAACATATAACAGAGCATGCATACTGAATTAAACCTATAAACAGAGCATGGATACTTACTTGAACTTATAAAGAGAGCATGGATGATGATTTGAACATACAGAACAGGGATACTGATTTGAACATACAAACAGCAGGGATACTGATTTGAACATACAAACAGCAAAGATACTGATTGGAACATACAAACAGCAGGGATACTGATTGGAACATACAAACAGCAGGGATACTGATTGGAACATACAAACAGCAGGGATACTGATTGGAACATACAAACAGCAGGGATACTGATTGAAACATACAAACAGAGCAGGGATACTGATTGGAACCGATAAACAGAGCAGGGATACTTACTTAACTTATAAAGAGAGCATGGATGCTGATTTGAACCGATAAACAGAGCAGGGATACTGATTTGAACCGATCAACTGAGCATACATATGGACTTGATTTTTACAGTGTTTTTGAACCTTGAAGTATTTAATTATGTTCATGAACCAGGTCGTATGAAATTTAACTGCCAGGCAAAAGAAAGAAAGCATACACTTGAAAATACCTGCTTCACTCATTACTGTGTACTATGAAAATGTGACCCCATGTTACTTGAGATGTCAAGCACACGCCACCTGTTATGAGGTACTCATTTATATGATGCATGTAATGTCACATATGATGCCCGTTCCAAATACATCACTATGGAATAACCAGTTCTTCTTAGTATCATCTTTAGCCACCATCAAACATGGGGGCATACTTTCTTTTGCCAAGGAGTTTATGTCAGTGAGCCTTGTAATATTCAGCACTATGATATTCAAGTGTGTCATAGTATTGCCACCTCATGGTATTTACCCATGTTCTGGTGTGAGTGAGTGAGTGAGTTGGGTTTAACGTGGCTTTTAACATTATTCCAGTTATATCGAGGCGTGTCAGCTTACTGTGGGAGGAAAGCCCGAAGTGATGCAGGTCTCAGACGTTTACCACTTCGGTGAAACCCACGAGCACAGGTATGGTGCTGACAAACCTAGAAACATAACTGGGGCAAACCAGGTTTCGAACCAACAATCATAGGTTTCTGGCGTGCCCAACGGACGCAAGTCTGCACAGCGAATCGTGGCGCCTTAGACGACTGGGCCACCCATGTTCTGGAATGTGATATTTAACTATTTCTGCAGAAGTTACCTCCATGTGTGAGCAGGAGGCGACACACGTCCAGTCTGTTGCTGGCGACAGCGTCATGGAGAGGCGTGATGCCGTCCGGGGTGCAGGCTAGTAGGTCCACCTTCTTACAGGTCTGGTCTGGAGATAAACCTGATTTATCAACATACTACAATACACAACACAGCATGACATGTATTGAATGCATGATCCTTACACCGCCCCCGTGGTCTTGTGGTAGAGCGTCCGCCCGGAGAGTGGAAGGTCAGGGGTTCGATCCCCGACCGCGTCATACCAAAAGACGTTAAAAGATGGTACTTGTTGTTACCCTGTCTGGCGCTCGGCATTAAGGGGATAAAACAAGGACTGGTCGGCTCGGAGTTAGTATACTGTGTCTGAGTAGGGTATTCATGTTAAACTGTGGCATGGTATCTCAGTGAGCTAGCACTATATATCGGCATCAGTCCGGACTAGTACAAGCAGGGACACCCACCCACACCCACACACACACACACACACACACACACATGCATGTCACTATATAAGTGCAATAATCTTGGACGCGACGTTAAACCCCATTTCACCTCACCTCACCGCACATAATAGTGAGTGAGTTTGGTTTTAGGCCACTTTTAGCAATTTCATGATGGAGAAATGGACTTCACACATTGTACCCACAATAGGGAAGCCAAACATTCCGTGTGATAAGCAATCGCCTTACCCCCAGGGCTCGACAACTGCCCTGACTGAATGATAGTGTGAAGGAATGAACCTTCAGATTTTACACTAGTCAGTGCCAAAATGGTACCAGCCATCAGTCAAAAAATAACTGCACAGCAGTGTTATCATATTGTATGCAATAAATCTCCACTTCCGGGTTATAAACTTTTTCACTCTAATTGAAGTAAGTAAGTAAGTGGGTGGGTGGGTGGGTGAGTGAGTGAGTGAGTGGGTGGGTGAGTGAGTGAGTGAGTGTGTGTGATTTAGGTTTAATGCTGCTTTTAACAGTATTCCAGTTATATCACGACGTATCAGCTTAATGTAGGAGGAAAGAGCGAAGTGACTCAGGTCTCAGACGTTTACCACTTTGGTGAAACCCACATGCACAGGTATGGTGCTGACAAACCTAGAAACATAATTGGGGGGAACCGGGTTTCGAACCCACAATCATAGGTTTCTGAGGTGCCCAAGGGATGCAACTCTGCATAGAGAATCAAGGCGCCTTAGACGACTGGGCCACCCATGCCCCCCTAATTGATAAGAATGAAGTCTGTTGACCTTAATCTTCATTGCCTGAAAAAAACAATTTTACCCTTTTGCCATGGCATTTATTATATAAATAGGTCAGGGGTTTATTCCTATTGTGTTCAGCTTACACAAAGCCATAATCATCAATATCACGATGATGGTGACCAGTAAATAATTGAGCCTGGCCAGACAAACCAGTGATTGATATAAAGAGCAAAACCTCAAGCCATTGGTACAATGAGAGTCAATAAAACAAATTAAAAGATTAAACAATCACGTGTCAACAACAAACTGAGGCTACTAAACAGATCACAATTTAATCTTGTATACTGACATAAGGCTACTTCAAAATATTCTGTTAATTTGAGCACCATAAGATCATTTTTTAACTTGACCGTGTTTATATTTTAGAAACATGAATATTAAATTCAAAATTGCCATCATATACAATCAAAGCTGTGATTTGACAGACAGTTTTACTTTTGCTGAGATATGAGTCAATGGTTCTGGCTGGGACGTGTTTGAGCAGCGTGTCGACGCACTCCACATGGCCTTTGTTGCACGCCTCGTGCAGCGGGGTCCAACCTGCATGGTCTTGTGCATTCACATCCACACCTGAAACACGCACAGAGGATGAGTGAGAGGTTTAAGGGGAAAGAAGCAGGATTCAATTGAGGTGGAGCCTAGTGGAAATGTGAATAGCACGCGAAGTCTGGCGCCTTGGAGTGGAACAGAAGGGAGGGGACGAGGGTGGAATTAAGTCAAACGGAACCAAAGGAGGTGGATTTAAGAGGAGAAGAGCTGAGCATAAAGACAGCCAATTGGATGGTGAAATGGAGAGGGGGTGGAGCAGAGTAGAGCCATCGGGAGTCGGGGACGTAGGGAGCGGAGTAGAGTGGTCTGACATAGATTCACAATTCAGCAGTTACTTCTCAACTCAGATAACAACACTGAACACAATTTAACTGTGTACTCAACTTTACATCTTTAATCTTTGAACTTCCGACTCAAAACTTCTGAAAACTACTACAAAGTTTTTTGCGCACCTGCAAAACTGTTCTTTTTCAAGAAACAACAGTTTTGGTGAGTAAACCATGAAAGCAACTTTAATATATCTGTATTTGTTGCACTCCTATGTGACTTAATAGCTTGAGGCCGTACAAGCATAAGTGACTGGGGACCAACAAGCATAGGTTACTGGGGACCAACAAGCATAGGTTACTGGGGACCAACAAGCAGAGGTTACTTGGGACCAACAAGCAGAGGTTACTTGGGACGAACAAGCAGAGGTTACTGGGGACCAACAAGCAGAGGTTACTTTGGACGAACAAGCAGAGGTTAATTGGGACGAACAAGCAGAGGTTCTGGGGACCTACAAGCATAGGTTACTGGGGACCAACAAGCATAGGTTACTGGGGACCAACAAGCATAGGTTACTGGGGACCTAAAAACATAGGTAACTGGGGACCTAAAAACATAGGTAACTGGGGACCTACAAGCATAGGTTACTGGGGACGAACAAGCAGAGGTGACTGGGGACGAACAAGCATAGGTTACTGGGGACCAACAATCATAGGTTACTGGGGACCTACAAGCATAGGTTACTGGGAACCAACAAGCATAGGTTACTGGGGACGAACAAGCAGAGGTGACTGGGGACCAACAAGCATAGGTTACTGGGGACCAACAAGCATAGGTTACTGGGGACCAACAAGCAGAGGTTACTTGGGACCAACAAGCAGAGGTTACTGGGGACCAACAAGCAGAGGTTATTTGGGACGAACAAGCAGAGGTTACTTGGGACGAACAAGCAGAGGTTACTTGGGACGAACAAGCAGAGGTTACTGGGGACCAACAAGCAGAGGTTCTGGGGACCTACAAGCATAGGTTACTGGGGACCTACAAGCATAGGTTACTGGGGACCAACAAGCATAGGTTACTGGGGACCAACAAGCGGAGGTTACTGGGGACCAACAAGCAGAGGTTACTAGGGGCCAACAAGCATAGGTTACTTGGGACCAACATGCATAGGTTACTGGGGACCTACAAGCAGAGGTTACTGGGGACCAACAAGCATAGGTTACTGGGGACCAACAAGCAGAGGTTACTGGGGACCAACAAGCAGAGGTTACTGGGGGCCTATTCGAACCCATAATCCCCCAAGGGCCATAATACCAACAACCTATACCTGCAACATTACAGTATATGACTCACACATACCTGGCACCGTCAACAGCTGTTTCAACTTCACAATATTGTTCTTTATACAAGCCATATGGAGTGCTGTCTCACCTACAAAAAGCCAATGAAACCTTCAAGGTATAAAACAAATCACATAAGAAACAAAACAATGAACCTTCACACACGTCTGGTGACTACAACTCAATATGAATCACAACACATAATTCAGAGATTTATCTAGGTTTCAAAAGTAAGTGCCCTTGGCACTCAAAATTGGAAAAAACATCATCTCGTTCAAAACAGGGACTTTCTTATTTTATCAAATCCAGGGGTATTTGAATATTTCATCCAATGCAACAATGTAAAACTGAATATTCAAGATTCTTCCTGTTTACAGGTTGTAAATTATCGGTGAGGTGAAATGGGGTTTAACGTCGCGTCCAAGATTATTGCACTTATATAGCGACGTGCATGCACGTGTATGTGTTTGTGTTGCTGCTTGTACTAGTCCGGACTGATGCCGATTTATAGTGCTAGCTCACTGAGATACCATGCCGCAGTTTAACATGAATACCCCACTCAGACACAGTATACTGACTCCGAGCCGACCAGTCCTTGTTTTAGCCCCTTAATGCCGAACGCCAGACAGGGTAACAACAAGTACAATCTTTTAACGTCTTTTTGTATGAGGCGGCCGGGATCGAACCCTGGACCTTCCGCTCTCCGGGCGGACGCTTGTAAATTATCGGTAGCCTAGACAGTCCAGTGAATGCCTTCCTAGTTGCATGGCACAATATTCAGGGTTTTACATAACACTAAATTCCTACTTCTGTGACTCAATAATTTCCTGAAATACTTGCAGCAGTATTTGATATGAGTCATAACTGATGTAACAGTGTTAGAAATTGGCACTAGTCCTATAGTCCTTGCCAAACTGCCCAATAGTTAAGGTATGATAAGGACTAGTACAAATTTGCCTTTTTAAGGGTTTTGCTGTGTGTTATCATTTTAAGGACAAGTGGACTAAAAGTGTTAGTTTCTACCGCTGTGTAATTTACAATATTTTTGATTTTATCCTTCTAATCTGAACCTCCAAGTCCACCATGTATAATGGCTTGTATGGATTCTAATGCTTTTGTAGTAAACCCTATTGCACTGAACTACAGGGCTCATTTGGACAAAGCGAACTGAGCGCTAAGATGATCGTAACTTTAACATACGATCGTCTTAGCGCTAAGATCACTTTGTACAAGTGGGCCCTGCACTGCTCTACAGAATGTAGCTGGTTACCCTTGTTGTTGGTTTTGTTGATCTTGGCTGCCATGTGCTGGGTGAGTCGTTCCCCACTGCCATCTCTCTGTTGATCTTCGTCACACTCCTCCGGTCTGCCATGCCTTCTGCAGTGGAAGGAAACACTCAGGGAAATGATACTGTGTACTACAACACCCCTCTATACATCCCTATACAGGGAGGCCGCACTTCCTTATTTTTATGTTTCACGGATCCATTCCAGCTTTTCCAAACGAGGTCGGTCGAAATAAAACTAAAAATAAATGTCAGTCATTTATTAATGTATATGAAAGTATATTTGCCATGGCATTAAAACTGGCAGCCTTTGGATCACTGATAGTGATGTAGACATGGAACATATATATAACATTTGGTATTGTATTAGAGGGTCTACATTACTAGCAGGACAACATAATAAAAATAAAATGTTCTTTAATTCATTTCTTAGACCGGCTGCATTTCAGTAGGGGCAGCAGGCCCAGGAAACAAAAAATAAAAAAATGTTTGGCCCAACTGCTGATCAGTTGAGGAATAAACTCATGCTATTGACAACATAACAAGATGAGGAGTGAGTTTTCTTATAAGCCACTTTGAATAGTGTTAAATTATATCATGCCATGTCAGAGCCATGTCAGAGCTAAGCCCAATGTGATGCAAGGCTTAGACGTTAAATACTTTAGTGAAATCCTCAAGGAAGGATCAGGTCGAATCTGGTATTCAAACACATAATCATGGGATCCTGGCATGCGGAAGGGATGCAACTCTGCATAGAGATTTGCAGCTACATAGATGACTGAGAATCATTTTCCAAAAAGCATGCAATGACATAGCTGCCCATTTTTTTATGCAACTTGTACTTAGGCCAAATTCTTCAAAGCTTATAAAAGATCACTGTTCGTGAGTCTGAAAAATATGATTTGAACAACAGAGCTATGTACCTCACCTTAGCTGCCGCTTGTGAATTTCCTTCATGGCTATCTTTGTACTTGACAACCTTGGCAAGAGGAAGATATACTGAGACACCTGTATGTAAGAGAGGAAGAGATACTGAGACACATGTATGTAACAGAGGAAGAGATACTGAGACACGTGTATGTAACAGAGGAAGAGATACTGAGACACCTGTATGTAAGAGAGGAAGAGATACTGAGACACATGTATGTAAGAGAGGAAGATATGCTGAGACACATGTATGTAACAGAGGAAGAGATACTGAGACACCTGTATGTAAGAGAGGAAGAGATACTGAGACACATGTATGTAAGAGAGGAAGAGATACTGAGACACCTGTATGTAAGAGAGGAAGAGATACTGAGACACCTGTATGTAACAGAGGAAGAGATACTGAGACACCTGTATGTAAGAGAGGAAGAGATACTGACACATCTGTCTGTAACAGAGGAAGATATACTGAGACACCTGTATGTAACAGAGGAAGATATACTGAGACACCTGTATGAAACAAGAGTGTAGGAAGTATGGAGACTGGGATTAAAGTATCAGTAGACAGTCAATACAGGTATCTAATCAGCAAACACTCTCCAATACCTGTATCTGCAAACACTGTATGAGGGTACAGTAGTAGGTTTTACAACTGGCAGTGTAGAACTATTCTATCTAAAATAGGTAAAAGATTGTTACTGAAACTAATTGATTTCTACACTGTAAAAGAAAACATGATTGTAGCGCCACCTGTGTAGCGCCAGTAATGTAGCCCAATGGCCCTCCTATTGACCAATCAGATTCCACCTTTCATATCATTTGCATTTGCTTCAAACAAAATGGCAGCACTCGTCAGCCCATTCAAAATAATCCCCATCTCTAAATTCCAGCCTAGTTAGGCAAGGGTGGAAACCTGACTTTTATAGTCAGTTAACTCCCTTGCCTTTGGAAAATATGTAGGATATGGAATCTTGTAGAATTTTCCTTTTCGGAATATTCTATAAGTAATACGTTACCACTGTTATACCGAGGCTGTTGTCTCCCACAACTGCTGCTATAGCGAAATCTACCACAGAGATCTCAATTACCTCATGCAGCACGTGCGTAGCCACCTAGCTGCCATGTGACACCCTTCACTCTTGTCTCTTGCGAGAGCAAGTGCTCGGGGGACGGACGGGCGGGCAGCAGCCCAGTGGTAACGTATTACTTATAGAATATTCCGCGGGCCAAGACGGTGCACACTCTCCACGACGGCATCAGCAACCTGTTTGAGGTAAGGATTGGCAAAAACCGAGTCAGAACGCCAGTAACAACCTCGTAATATTCTGCGAACAGAGATATTCGAGTGTAGGGAAAATGTTGCCGCTAGCGCCCTGATCTCGTGCGGGTTTGACCCCGCTACCGGTAACCCCCGAGACCGGTACGCCAGATTGATGACAGAACGAAGCCACAACGCAATCGAGTTGCGAGTTATGTCAACCGTGCGATTAGGGTTACACGATATGAACAGACGGTCACGCCCTTGTCTACGTTCATTCGAAGCCTTAAGATAATACTTAAAGGCCCTAACCGGACACAGCGCTCTGTCCTCAGTATCAGCAGGATGTAAGATTTCTTTGAGTGATCTTACAGTGAATTCTCTCTCCGTTTGCCCGACTCTCTTGGCGAGGAAGCCCATGAGCAGGCCCAGGCGGACCGCTCCTTCGTCACCCCTAACGAATCGTACCTTGGCGACATCGAGTGCATGAATTTCGGATACACGTGCCGGAGAAGGAGAGGAGAAATGCTGTTTTCCAAGTCACATGCCGGAATGAAGCACTATGCAAGGGTTCATACGGAGCTTCCGTAAGTGATTGCAACACTAGGGAAAGATCCCAGGCCGGTGCCCGAAGGCGGCCCTTCTTAAGATCGTGCTGTTTGAAACCCTTGATAATACCCCGTATCACCGGCTCTTTGGAGAGACTGGTACCCATAGCAACGTCCCGTACCGTAGCAACGGACGAGACATAGTTGGCAATGGAACCCCCGGAGAGTTTCCGGGTCTCTCGCAAGTGAGACATGAAACGAGCAATAACCTGCACATATACCTTATCTGGCGAATGAATGTGATGTTTACAACACCTCTTCGTGAAAATAACCCAACGTGCATTATACACCTTCTGGGTAGAATCACGATGCAAACTAACGTATGCCCGAGACGCCCGGCGAGAAAAACCTTTACTCCTCAGACGCTCGGTGACAACATCCACGCGTGCAGATTGAACTGCCCTGCGTTTGGATGAAGCTGACGTGTGTGAGGGTGGATCAAGAGATCCGGTCTCACAGGCAGTGGAAGTGGCGACTGCGTGACCTGGGTCAGCAAGTCGGGGTACCACGATCTGTTCGGCCACATGGGCGCGATCAGTAACATTCGACAGCGAACTCCTCAGAGCCGGCTTAGAATGTGTGGTATCAACGCTGTCGGCGGGTAAGCATAAGCGTCGTCTGTGGGGCTCGGATCCTGAGGCCTCGATAGAGCATCGGCCAGTACGTTCCGCACACCTGGGATGTGACGGGCACGTATCTGGCACGGGACACTGTCCACCAGAGCGTAAAACTCGAACGTGAGATCGAGTAGCGAGTGACTGTGGGTTCCCCCCAGTTTGTTCACATAGGACACTACCGTCATGTTGTCGGTCGCCAGCATGAGCCGGGCGTCGACGAGACGATGCTTCCAGTGATTGACTGCGTTGATCACTGCCTTGAACTCGAGACAATTGATGTGAAGACCTAGTTCGTCTACGCACCACAGCCCCGAGCTCACCTCCCCATCTAGATGGGCGCCCCAGCCCACCAGAGAGGCGTCTGTATACAGGTGCAACGTGGCCCGGTAGGGCCGCATAGAGACTCCTGATAAGACATTGTAAGGGACCGTCCACCACTCCAGATGCGGTCGGAGCCGATCCGGGAGGGCGACGGTCGCACTGTTCACCTCCGTTGCTAACAACTGGATTAAAAAACGTTGCAGCGGGCGGAGTTGGAGACGACCCCGTTCGGTGCAGTCCTGGGCTGATACAAATAGCCCTAACAGCTGTTCCCAAAAGTGAACAGTCTGTTGCACCGCTAAGACTTTGGCAATCATCGCCTGAAACTTGTGCCCCCGGTCTGGGGGGACAAAGAGGCGATGGGACACCGTGTTGAACCGACCTCCGATGAACAGCAAGTTCTGAGAAGGGGTTAACTCGCTCTTTGGGAGATTGATAATCCACCCGAATTGCTCCAAGAGCCAACGTGCGAAAACGGGATGGCGTGACAGGGTGTCCGTCATTCGATTTGCTACTAGCGAGTCGTCCAGGTACGCGAAGTACCGGACACCACCCCTGTGGAGGAACCCCACTATGGGGGTGGTTAACCGGGTGAACAGCCAGGGAGCGGACGTGTGAATCATTCTGAGTTCGGCACTGTCCTACTTGGGAACGAGAAATATCCTGGAGTAAAACCCCGGTGTTATTTCTGGTAGAGCTAACTCCCGTACTGCCCCTTCTCCACCAACCTGCCGATGGCATCGGCGAGGATGGGAAGATCGGTTTCCGAATCGAAACCTGCCAACGGGGCAATGGTGAGCGGCGGATTCGCTTTGAGATCAAGCCGATAGCCGTACCGAATCGTGTTGACCACCCACGGGTCGTCGAACACTTGTTCCCAGTTCTCCCAGTAAGTCTGGTGTCTGGCTCCCACTGGGGAAGGAGAGGGGGCCCTGACAGGCTGCGGCAGGCGCAACTGTCCAGGGCCAAGTGACTCGGGTTCGCCTAAGGGCCAACTGAAGATGGCGCTGTCGGCATACGAACCCCTCCAATGAGAGTCACCTGGAGGGGCCCTTGCCGTCCTTAGACGACATGGGCTTCCCCCAGTTCCCCGTCTTCCCGCGAAAGGGCAGCTGATTGCCCATACCGGAGCCCTCAGGGCGGGGCTACTTCCCAGAGGAAGAAGAACCCGACCCCTTAGACCTACCGGCGCTTGCAGCCCGGGACGTCGGAGGCAACGGGAGACCCCGACCGGAGGCCGCCGCAAAGGCGTTCTCAAAGGAAGGCTTGATACCGCGCAGCAAGGTTGATGCGGGGAAAGCCGTGTCGGAAGACTCATCGTATACCTCGGAGGAACCCACAGTCGTGGATTCCCCGCGGTACCGGCCGGGGCATGTCCTCAAAGAGGTCATAAACCATGGCCAGGCGGTCCTTAACCGATAGCGGGAGCAACGGTTCGGGGGAAGGACCGGTGACCACGGGAGCCGCCGCCGTACCGGTGGACCCCGCGGACACCAAAGTGGCCGGGGACGGAACAGCCAGCGGCCTATCCTGAGATAAGGCCGCCAGCTTGGAGTCCACAAGTTATGCAAGTAATGCAGCGACGGAATCCCCGGACAGCCCACGGGCCGCCAAGGGATCCGCCGCAGCCGTGGTGGTGGTACCCGCAAGGGGACCCCGACCGGACGAGTCGGCCACCACAGGGATGGAAACGGACTGCACATACAGCCGGTAGCGCTCGCTTGCCACACCCCCCGCAGCTCCTGGTTGCGGGGGTAGAGGGGGTGGAGGACGGCGAAACATCCATGTCAGACATTTTGTTTGTACTATGAACAAAGAGCAAAACATGGTTACAACACACGCACCACAAATAGTCACAAACGAGTATTTTCACAAGAAAATAAACGAGCAATGGGAATATAGAACATACACATATAACATATAGAGGAATAAGTGATGTGAGTGAGTGAGTGAGTTTGGTTTTACGCCGCTTTTAGCAATATTCCAGCAATATCACGGCGGGGGACACCAGAAATGGGCTTCACACATTGTACCCATGTCGGGAATCGAACCCGGGTCTTCGGCGTGACGAGCGAACGCTTTAACCACAAGGCTACCCGACCGCCCGAATAAGTGATGTAAAAACCCCAAGATATACTAGAACAGGGGAACGTAAGACGCAACGTGCATACGAGACACCCCGCAAGTATATAGAAAAAAAGGGCGGGAAAAATATTTCCTTTTGGCAGGAAAAATATTTCCAAGCGTAGTTACAGCAAACGCCCCGTAAAAGCACAATTTTTTTAGAGAGAATAAACAGTAATAAATATCACCAAATGGTCGGAGAAACAGGAACGCTTGAGCAGTTTATTGTACGTCTTGCTAGAGCAAGCGAAGAGACAAGAGTGAAGGGTGTCACATGGCAGCTAGGTGGCTACGCACGTGCTGCATGAGGTAATTGAGATCTCTGTGGTAGATTTCGCTATAGCAGCAGTTGTGGGAGACAACAGCCTCGGTATAACAGTGGTAACGTATTACTTAATGTAATAAATGCTAATAAAATTGCTTGATTATCCAACCAAATGACACAGCAATATATTTTTCCACAAAAAAGTAGACTATGTTTACGGGTTTACTAAATCATGAATTCTTTAATGATGAACAGAAAAGTTGAGATCTTACAATTTTGGTGAGGTTGAGATGTCCTAGATCTAGTCCTTTGACCAGCAAGTAGTCATCCATTTTGGCCAGCAGGAGCTGTGTAGAATAATAATAGAGCACACAGCATCACTGTACAGGTGGTGTCCATGTCCCTGATCTGGAGCCTACATTTCTCAGCACTACTTTACACACACCTTGTTGACCAAAGGTCACCGAAGTCTATATGCTTATCCATGTGAAACAAAGGTAATTGTGAGAGAGTGAATGTTGCTTTATGCTGCAGTCAGCAATATTCAAGTCAGAACTGGACCAACACTGTCAGGGATCAATGGTTTGTTTGTTTGTTTGTTGCTTAACGCTGCACTCAGCAATATTCCAGCTCTATGAGGGTGGTCTGTAAATAATCAAGTCTGGACCAGAAAGTCCAGTGATTGACGTCATGAGCATTGATCCACGCAATTGGGATATGATGACATGCATCCACCAAGTCAGTGAGCCTGACAACCTGATCCCGTTGGTCGCCTCTAACGACAAGCATAGTCACCTTTTACCGTAAGCATGGGTTGCTGAAACCTATTCTACCCCGGCGCTTCACAGGGAACAATGACACACAATCAGCTGAGTCAAACATAGCAACCACAGCATCTACATAACCATCATACCATGTCAACAAATCTGTAGTGAAGTATGCAGGTTGGTCCTGTTATTATACTATGTTGTTATAAAAAATACCCCAAATGGCCATTGGAAGGTTCATCAACAGCAACCCACATCGAATGAACGAACTGACATGCACATATGTAACATGCATTTTTCATAATGAAACTTTGGTGGCTTTGATGAACCCTTAGTTGTCATGACATCAGAATAATCCTGATTTGTCAAATCCTTACATTGGATATCCCCTCGTTTTTTCTAAAAGTATAAATGACATGTCCTCACTCCAGGTCCACATATGCATTTTTTTTATTGATACATGACCTCACGATAGGATTCTAGTACCATGGCACAACATCATTGATTGAAATGCAGACAAATTGGTGGAAAAAAATAGCATTATTTTGTTAAAACTTTGGATTTTTTAAAGTTCATATTTTGCAAATTAAGGGGTACTTTAAAAATGTATTTTAAAAATCCATTCATGGCAACAATTCAAAACTAAATATAAAGCCCCTTCCTCTGATATTTGGTGACTTGCTAGAAACCTATTAATTTCAGAATTGAGGTTATGCCACATGCTCACAGACAGAACAAATCTTCACACTAGAACGGATATTAGTTCGGACCAGAACTGATTAACATAGCTAGGATGAGAAGAAATCTCAGAACAAGTACAAATGTTAATGTGAGAACAGATTTCATTTCTTGCACAGACCTAACAAGAACAAAACAAAACAACAAGAACAAATGGAAGGTCTCAGATGGATTGTAAGACTAAAAAATATCCTCACCTGAACAATCCGCAGACACAACCAATCAGGCTGTAGGTTACGAAGCGTGGTCAGTAGAGTTGTCTCCTCCTTGATACTGCAGCCTGAATGGGACATACGAGGTTCAAAATGGCCACTGGTTCATAGAACACAACTGACTTTAATGAAATTGTTGTCATTTATGACACATAACAATGATAACGATGGGATTATCAGATAAGAGCTTGCTCACCTGAAATGTTCCGAGCCAATGCATTCACAAACAATGATGTCCTCTCTCCGATGTCTGGGTAGCCACTTGTCACCTCACCATGGTCAGCTATCTGACAACATTGTGTTGCCATGGAAACAAGGCTAAGGACACTCTCCAACAGTTGCCCCTGCAACAAAAACCAAAATAAATTGGAGAATAGAAAGTGACCAGGCAGCAGTCACTGCCCCACTAAGTCCAACAGACTTGAGGACTACCTCACCTTGTGTGTGCAGTCACTAGGCAGCAGTAAGCACTGCCCCACAAAGTCCAACAGTCTTGAGGAGTACCTCACCTTGTGTGTGCAGTCACTAGGCAGCAGCAAGCACTGCCCCACAAAGTCCAACAGCTGCTGTGTGCGAGAGTTGGGGAACAGCAGATAGGAAGGGTACCACAGACACTGGACCAGCATGCAACTCCTCAACAGTTTCCGTCTCTGCTTCTCATCTGATGACTGCAGCCTGGATGGAGATACAAAAGATGAAAAGGAAACATCCATGTACATCCCCATAGACTCATTCAGGTGTTCAAGACAGCAGAGTTCTGACAAATTGGCTTTGCTGACGGCTAAATCTGGATTTCTAAAGAGAAATCTGGTATTAACTTCAATCATACAACAAATATATGCAACAGAAACATCTGTTGTTTTGCCAATAACCTCTTAATGTCTCAATGTTTTAGCAATAATTTTAGGTGATGAAAAGAAAGAAGGGCACAAAAGGTGACAACTATTAAGAGAGTATAAAATTCCCCGAAATTTCAGTCAGACAACCGTACTGCCAACATTGTAAAGTTACTGGACTAGACAAAATGTTGCCAGTCCAGAATTTTCTAGACTTACAAACAAAAGTAACAAAAGGGCAAAGATAAGAATAGAACTGTTTAATGTTAGTTCTCAGAAAATAACAATAAACATGACAGAGGGCAGCTTCATGTGCCATGTGCATCACATGATACCATGTCCATAGACCAGCATGAATTCAAAATGCATTCTCAGACCTGTCAACCCTCCCGCATTTTGCATTAGATTCCTGCAATTTGATGAAATCTTCCAGTTTCCCGCATGATGGACTATTTCTCCCGCAAAACAGGTTTCTTCATCATTTTAAAAATTCGCCTCCATTGTCCCGTGAGTAAAAACAAAGAACGGGAAGTTTACGTCCCGATCTGTCCGGTAGGCTCCCGGATTAGCGACCCTTATCGAAGACACCAGGAGGGGGGACCCAGACGGGCCTTTGTCTAGTAATCACCATATGGTGAACGATTTAACAATGTAAACTGGAAAGAAAGCACGGTTAGTCCTAACAGGTGCCTGAAGGGTTGAACTTTAAATGAATAATCAGCCGAGTACTTATCATTTCCTGAAATGAACTGTTGTCTTCATGTTCTTATCGTGTTTATTCCTCCACAATTTAAGAACGTAGATACATATGGTCCAGTTATACATGACTTTATTGGCTGCAGATTTTTCAGAAACTTTGTTAAAACATGAATTAAAGTTACGTCATTAAACTCTCGGAGATGAAAACAAAATATGAGCTGTCTTTAGAAACAACACTATGAGTGATTGGTTGATTCGGTAGTCGAAATAAGAATAGGTCACACGGTCAGAGCTAGGGTTTCAAAGTCAAAGTTTAAAGTGAAACTTTTGACTGACATCATGACTCGTGTTCACAGAAATATCAACATACAGAACTATATCAAATTTCCCGAAAATGTATCATGAGATTATTTTACACGATTTGATTGGCAAATAGTTTGCTAGCGTCCCAGATTGGCAATCTAATTTGCAAACAACAGTACTAGTTAACCAATGAAATTAATACATGTCAAGGTCAGAAAGGTCAACAATGATGACGAGACTCATTTCATTCATAAATTGTAGTAAAACATAATAGTACTTCCAAATATGGCATGCATTTCTTGGAATGGAATAACGTGAACATTTCTAGGAAATTTAAGAAGCGAAGTAATGGGACTGTCAACAGACTACCTCAGACAGAAATAAACAATATATTTTATTGAAATTAGGGACGATCATGTTGCGCCAGGATAAATGCACTTGATATTTCTTTGGCGTATTTAGAAACCAAAATCGCTCCAAATACTCAGAAAACCTGCATCATAACGAAGCCTGACAACTGGTCAAATTGAAACACATTGTCAACTGGTCGAGCTACCAATCATTGAATTTCAGTATCTGTTTATCTGAGATGATCTTTGAACGAAGGTGATATCGGTAGATTGGGCTAGGTTTATACTTGGAGGCGGAAAATGCAAACGGAAATTAAGCAAGCTGTAAGTATAAGAAACTTCTTAATTATTTATTGTTTTAAAACATTTGGTTTTCTTAATAATAACATTAATAAAATAAAAGTTGGAAATAATCTCATCTTCATTATTTTAAAAATCTCCCCCTTTGGAGGCAAATCTTCCCCATTTTGAAGGCAAATCTCCCACATTGTCATGATGAGGGGTTGACAGGTCTGCATTCTCAGCTCCCTGGGGAGGGTACAAATATCTTCTGGCTAAATGTAGGATTAAATCTTGCATCATGAACTTACTCTGACACAAAGCTGCGGAAGCTGTGCCGGAAAACCGTGACGAGGAACTGTAGCAGAAGACAGTGGTTGCCCCTGTGGGCATCTTGCTCCATCGACAGAGCCCCCCTGAAACCAGATGGATGGATTACACTTCACCACAGTGTGAACAATGAACACATTATTATATAGAGCATTGCTTACACTCAACCCACTAACCATGCTAAGATACAAGAGTAGATTTAAGTGATAAATCGAATCAGGAACCTAACACACAGGATCTAACTCCCCCAAAGGATCTAAGCTTCCACATCCTATCTTTGAACCCAGCTGACAAACTCCCCACTGAGTCTAAGCTTGTGTGATCTCCACCTACCCTACAACAAAGCTGATGACCTCCCACACAGGGTCTAAGCTTGCATGATCTCCACCTACACTACAACAAAGCTGATGACCTCCCACACAGGGTCTAAGCTTGCATGATCTCCACCTACACTACAACAAAACTGATAACTTGCCCTACAGGGTCTAAGCTTGTGTGATCTCCACCTACCCTACAACAAAGCTGATGACCTCCCACACAGGGTCTAAGCTTGCATGATCTCCACCTACACAACAAAGCTGATGAACTCCCCACAGGATCTAAGCTTGCATGATCTCCACCTACCCTACAACAAAGCTGATGAACTCCCCACAGGATCTAAGCTTGCATGATTTCCACCTACCCTACAACAAAGCTGATGAACTCCCCACAGGATCTAAGCTTGCATGATCTCCACCTACCCTACAACAAAGCTGATGAACTCCCCACAGGATCTAAGCTTGCATGATCTCCACCTACCCTACAAAAAAGCTGATGAACTCCCCACAGGATCTAAGCTTGCATGATCTCCACCTACCCTACAACAAAGCTGATGAACTCCCCACAGGATCTAAGCTTGCATGATCTCCACCTACCCTACAACAAAGCTGATGACCTGCCCCACAGGATCTAAGCTTGCATGATCTCCACCTACCCTACAACAAAACTGATGAACTCCCCACAGGATCTAAGCTTGCATGATCTCCACCTACCCTACAACAATGCTGATGACCTGCCCCACAGGATCTAAGCTTGTGTGATCTCCACCTACACAACAAAACTGATGACCTGCCCTACAGGATCTAAGCTTGCATGATCTCCACCTACACAACAAAACTGATGACCTCCCACACAGGATCTAAGCTTCCACATCCTATCTTTGAACCCAGCTGATAAACTCCCCACTGGGTCTAAGCCTGCCAGATCTCCACCTACCCTACAACAAAGCTGATGACCTCCCACACAGAATCTAAGCTTGCATGATCTCCACCTACACTACAACAAAGCTGATGAACTCCCACACAGGATCTAAGCTTGCATGATCTCCACCTACACTACAACAAAACTGATGAACTCCCCACAGGATCTAAGCTTGCATGATCTCCACCTACACAACAAAACTGATGACCTGCCCTACAGGGTCTAAGCTTGCATGATCTCCACCTACCCTACAACAAAGCTGATGAACTCCCCACAGGATCTAAGCTTGTGTGATCTCCACCTACACAACAAAACTGATGACCTCCCACACAGGATCTAAGCTTGCATGATCTCCACCTACACAACAAAGCTGATGAACTCCCGACAGGATCTAAGCTTGCATGATCTCCACCTACCCTACAACAAAGCTGATGAACTCCCCACAGGATCTAAGCTTGCATGATCTCCACCTACACAACAAAGCTGATGACCTCCCACACAGGGTCTAAGCTTGCATGATCTCCACCTACACAACAAAACTGATGACCTCCCACACAGGATCTAAGCTTGTGTGATCTCCACCTACACAACAAAACTGAGGCCTGCCCTACAGGATCTAAGCTTGCATGATCTCCACCTACACAACAAAACTGATGACCTCCCACACAGGGTCTAAGCTTGCATGATCTCCACCTACACAACAAAACTGATGACCTTCCCTACAGGATCTAAGCTTGCATGATCTCCACCTACACAACAAAACTGATGACTTCCCACACAGGGTCTAAGCTTGCATGATCTCCACCTACACAACAAAACTGATGACCTTCCCCACAGGATCTAAGCTTGCATGATCTCCACCTACCCTACAAAAAAGCTGATGAACTCCCCACAGGATCTAAGCTTGCATGATCTCCACCTACACAACAAAGCTGATGAACTCCCCACAGGATCTAAGCTTGCATGATCTCCACCTACCCTACAACAAAGCTGATGAACTCCCCACAGGATCTAAGCTTGCATGATCTCCACCTACCCTACAACAAAGCTGATGAACTCCCCACAGGATCTAAGCTTGCATGATCTCCACCTACCCTACAACAAAGCTGATGAACTCCCCACAGGATCTAAGCTTGCATGATCTCCAACTACCCTACAACAAAACTGATAAACTCCCCACAGGATCTAAGCTTGCATGATCTCCAACTACACAACAAAGCTGATGAACTCCCCACAGGATCTAAGCTTGCATGATCTCCAACTACCCTACAACAAAGCTGATGAACTCCCCACAGGATCTAACCTTGCATGATCTCCACCTACCCTACAACAAAGCTGATGAACTCCCCACAGGATCTAAGCTTGCATGATCTCCACCTACCCTACAACAAAGCTGATGAACTCCCACACCCCCTCCCCGTGGCCATCTTCCAGCAGGTAGAAGGAGTTGAGGTAGATGCCCCTCATCAGTTTGCTGTTAGGGGGATGGGCAGTCAGGATATTCATCAGGATCCTGTACGCCATCTGAGATATGTGCCTGGACTTGGCTTTCTGGAATAAATGTTTGCATAACAAAACACTACATTACCTGATTTTACCAAAGGTGCTTCATGAATCAAGGTATCAAAGTTTCCACAATACTGGAGACGAAACAAATTTTGTATTTTTGGTCAACTGAAAGTATCTCTTGCAGAACTGCAGCCAAATTCCTTTGCCCTATTTCTTGCAGTAATGACAGGTTTGGCTGACCATTGAACTTGACCTGTGTTTGTCAAAAATTTGACAAAATTAAATTCATTAATATTTCTTGCAGTCATGAAGATCCCGGATAGAATAGGTCTCCAGTATGGTGGCCCATACCCGCCACTGGTGAGATCATTTTTCACTGTATGCCTCTATATTTTGTCAGATGCTTTTCGTTTCAAATTGGCTTACCACGTGCGACCAAATTACTTCCAGATCAGTGCCCTTGGAGATTGTATCCGTAAGATTGAACTTTGATTCTAAAGTAGGTATCAGCCAGTCGATGAGCAATTAGCAGAGTGAAATTAGTGATGATCGGGTGTTAACTGGGCCCTTATGACCTTTATAAAACTAGGAAGTATTTGGCAGGCCGCCAGAAAGAAATTTAGCAGCCGCCAGATAAAATATAGAGGCATACAGTGAAAAAGGATCTTACCAGTGACGGGTATGGGCCACCGTACTCCGGCAACCCATGCTTGCCATATAAGGAGAATATGCTTGTCATAAGAGGCGACTAACGGGATTGGGTGGTCAGGCTCGCTGATGTGGTTGATGCATGTCATCGCATCCCAATTGCGTGGATCGATGCTCATTGTGTCAATCACTGGATTATCTGGTCCAGACTCGATTATTTACAGACCAAAAGTGGTCAAAATCACTCAACACTTGTTGACATCATCAAGTTAAAAATCTCACCAGTCTCAAACCAGTTTAAGTCATTCAAATGTGACCTTTCATCTGGTCAATATTAAGAAGGAACTGTCTTTCATGAGGACAATATCTGTACCCAATTTGGTCAAACTCTCAACTCTTGTGAATATCATCAAGTTAACAATCTCACCAGGAGGACCTGTGTCATCAGTGTGTGCAGCAGGTGAGATGAAGGATACGTTTGTATCGATGCCTGGGTCATTGTCAGGGCTTCCAGCTGAAAGTTCTCCTCAATGCAGATGTTAATGATGTTGCTGACAGAGCTTGGCATCTGACCTGGTAGGGTGTAGTCACTATTAGACTGGAAAAAAAAGAGTGTTGCTTTATCTAAAAAGATTATTCTTTAGTGAGTGAGTGAGTGAGTATAGTTTTATGCCGCTTTCAGCAATATTCCAGCAATATCATGGCTGGGGACACCACAAATGGGCTTCACACATTGTACCCATGTTGGGAATCGAACCTGGGTCTTTGGCGTGATGAGCAAACGCTTTAACCACTAGGCTACCTGACCGCCCCAGATTATTCTTTAACATGTGTGAGCAAGGTTTGAAAGTAAATTTCACAAAAATAGTGATGTGAAATGAGGCTTAACATGCATGCATGTGTATCTGTGTGCTGTTGTTTTTATTCATCAGGACCCACATGCACAAAACGATCTTAGCGATAAGACTATTGTAAGCCTATGTTAAAGTATGCGAGTTACGATCATCTTAGCGCTAAGATCTCTTTGTGCAAGTGGGTACTGGACTAATGCCAGTTTTAGAGTGCAAGCCCATTGAGATACCATGCTGCAGTTTAACATGAATAGTTAGTGAGTTGGGTTTAACGTCGCTTTTGAGAGTATTCCAGCTATATCACGGTGTGTCAGCTTAATGTGGGAGGAAAGCCTGAAGTGATGCAGGTCTCAGACGTTTACCACTTCGGTGAAACCCACAAGCATGGGTATGGTGCTGACAAACCTAGAAACATAATCAGGGCGAACCGGGATTCGAACCCACAATCATAGGTTTCTAGCGTGCCCAAGGAACGCAACTCTGCACAGCGAATCGCGGTGCCTTAGACAACTGGGCTACCCGTGCCCTCTTTAACATGAATACCCCACACAGATACAGTATAATGACTCCAAGCCAATCATTCCTTGTTTATCCTCTTAATGCCAAGCACCAGACAGAGAAACAACAAGTACCATCTTTTAACGTCTTTTGGTGGACAGGGCCAGGGATCAAACCACCGACCTTCCGACCTCTGGGCAGACGCTCTACCAACAAGTACAAATCAACTGAGTATTCAAGGCATCAGAACCAGAAACAGAACACTGGAGAAATATTCTGAAACCCTGAAACATGAATACAATTAAACCGATCAAAATATCAAAATGATCTACAACTTTGACAAAGGCGACATGGCTACTGTCAACCAACTTACTGTCTGATGGTCCACTTTCACTCCAGACCAGAGAGGACACCATGGCTGAACCGGATGTTTTAGCTGGAAAAACATCACTTTTTTTTTAAATGGTAGGACTAGTGTTTGAAATGAAAGAAATTGCCAGGCTGCCATCAGTATCCACAGACTTTAGAAGTTGCAGGGCCTGACTAAACTCTTCCTATACATTGTTTGACTCAAAATATTTGTATGTCCCTTTAATAATGTCTGTGTATGTCCCCATACAAGACAGGGACCATAAACATCTTTAACAGGGTCTACCCTTACGCAGAAATCCTTCAAAAGCAAAAGTTATCTTCACACCCAAACATCTGTCAAAGGCTGGAAGAACTAAAATATCATGTGACCTATCACAATGGAATTACCATTCTGCACATTCTCCAGTATAATAAGTATAAGTACATCTTGACTGAATGTAAATGTCACGGCCTCACAATTGACGGGATTCGGACGACAGACTTTCTAATACGTGGACAGACACCTTGTCCAAATGACCAGAGAGGTTACCCTGTCAGCAAGGTGAGAAGGTAAGGTTGTTACATGTGGGATGACTCCACACCCTGCTACATAAACATTCAAACAAACATTGATGATCCTGCTTTATTGTTATACCCACACCATGCCCCTGCCTACGTCCACACCAATCCAACACCACACCCACACCAATCCAACACCACGCCCACACAACACCCACACCGATCCAACACCACACCCACACCAATCCAATACCATGCCCACACCAATCCAACACCAATCCTACACCAAGCCCACACTAATCCAACACCACGCCCACACAACACCCACACCAATCCAACACCACACCCACACTAATCCAACACCAATCCTACACCACGCCCACACTAATCCAACACCACGCCCACACCAATCCAACATCACGCCCACACTAATCCAACACCACACCCACACTAATCAAACACCAATCCAACACCACACACACACCAATCCAACACCAATCCCACACCACACACACACTAATCCCACACTACACCCACACTAATCCAACACCACACCCACACTTATCAAACACCAATCCAACACCACACACACACTAATCCAACACCAATCCCACACCACACACACACTAATCCAACACCAATCCCACACCATGCCCACACAACACCCACACTAATCCCACACCATGCCCACACTAATCCAACACTACACCCACACTACACCCACACTAATCCAACACCAATTCAACACTATGCCCACACTAATCCAACACCAATCCAACACTATGCCCACACTAATCCAACACTATGCCCACACTAATCCAACACCAATCCAACACTATACCTACACTAATCAAATACCAATCCAACACCACACCCACACTAAGCCCACAGCAATCCAACACCATGCCCACACTAATCCCACACCAATCCAACACTAATCCCAAACCAATCAAACACCATGCCCACACTAATCCAACACCAATCCAACATCACACCCACACCCGCACCACACCCACACCAATCCAACACCACGACCACGCCCACACAACACCCTCACCAATCCAACACCACGCCTGCACCACACCCACACAACACCCACATCAATCCAACACCACAACCACACTAATCAAACACCAATCCAAAACCACACACACACTAATCCAACACCAATCCCACACCACACACACACTAATCCAACACCATTCCCACACCACGCCCACACAACACCCACACTAATCACACACCATGCCCACACTAATCCAACACTACACCCACACTAATCCAACACCAATCCAACACTATGCCCACACTAATCCAACACCAATCCAACACTATGCCCACACTAATACAACACCAATCCAACACTATACCCACACTAATCAAATACCAATCCAACACCACACCCACACTAAGCCCACAGCAATCCAACACCATGCCCACACTAATCCCACACCAATCCAACACCATGCCCAAACTAATCCCAAACCAATCAAACACCATGCCCACACTAATCCCACACCAATCCAACATCACGCCCACACCCGCACCACACCCTCACCAATCCAACACCACGACAACGCCCACACAACACCCTCACCAATCCAACACCACGCCCACACCCGCACCACACCCACACAAAACCCACATCAATCCAACACCACGCCACACTAAGGCTCAAATCACTGTACCTTCATCTTTTTCGTCAAAGGTTGCACACCATCATCAGCATCATCAACATCATCCTCGAAGATCTTCCTCTTGACAGCACATGACTGCACCAGTGGGTTGGTTGGTGTCACCGACGTCTTCTTCTTAACTTCTATCACTGAAGAGGGAGTGACAGTCAGTCAAACCAATCTAAATCACTGTCTACCCAGAGCAGAAGGCCAGTGTTTCAATCTCCTGGCCGCACCATACCAAAAGATGTTAAAAGATGGTACTTCTTGTAACCCTGCCTAGCACTTGGTATTAAGAGCATACAACAAGGACCGGTCGGTTCAGTAACAGTACAATGTGTCTGAGTGTGGTATCCATAGGTCACCTCACCTTAAAAACAGTCTAGTCTAATTTTTTACCCATGAAGATCCGGGGTAGAATAGGTCTTCCGCAACCCATGCTTGCCGTAAAAGGCCAATATGCTTGTCGTAAGAGGTGACTAACAGGATCAGTTGGTCAGGCTTGCTGACTTGGTTGATGAATGTCATCGTATCCCAGTTGTGTGGATCGATGCTCATGATATCAATCACTGGACTGTTTGGTCCAGACTCAATTATTTACAGACCGCCGTCATAGAGCTGGAATATTGCTGATTGCAGCGTTAAGCAACAAACAAACAGTCTAATTTTCTGAATAATACAATCCTCTAGAAATCCTCTAAGATTTATACCCAACTGGTTAAGTAACACTTCTGTACCAAACAAAGTTTTTTGTACAGCACTAAGTTATTATGACCTTTTGTTCAGCAATAAGTTACTTCTGATATTTTGTACAACAACCTACTTATGATTTTTTGTACAGCACAAATTTACTCATGGTTTTGGGGGATGAAAAGAGGTTACTTTTGACCTTTTGAACAAAACAAATACCTTTGTCTGGTTTGACATCAATGGTTGACCTATCTTGTTCTTTGTTGTCAGGGGCAACCTCACAAACTTCTTTTCGTCGTGACAAATATGTTGACATCTCTTTCTTACTGACAACCTCCGGCTGTGAACACGTTCCTGGAATACACATAATTCACTGTACCTTGGTGCTGGGTGTATGTTATGAGTGAGTGAGTAAGTTTGGCTTAACGCGACTTTAAACCAATGTCAGCTTGATGTGTGAGGAAAGCCTGAAGTGATGCAGGTCTCAGATGCTTACCACTTTGGTGAAACTAAAGAGCATGGATATGGTGCGGACAGCTCAACAAGCTTATCAGGGAAACTGGGATTCAAACCCACAATCATAAAAGACACAACTCTGCCCAGGAAAAGTGGTGCCTTAGATGACTGGGCCACCTGTGCCTACAATAATACAAGAGGTGGTATCTTTAAGAAGCATGTCTTCATTGGAAGACACATAATAGATACATTTAATGCCAAACTGACCCAGATGAAATTAACATTACCAACTTCCAACTAACTGTGGCTGGACCACTAAGGGATAACTGTATTCTAACCTTGTGAAGCAGACACACTCCTAGTCAGATTGCGGGACACTGTATTTCTGGGACGCTGTTTACTAGTTGAACTGAAACCGAAGTCTCCCAGGGAACTCTGTGACACTTTTCTTGAGCTGCCCTGAGACAATGGGCTAGATACGAATGATGACATTGAACAATGTGATAACTTCTTTTGTGAACTGTTTTTAACCTCATTGTCCATTTTGATCCTTTTTTCCAAATCTGGTGTACTTCTGACTGAAAGGCATGATGCCACAGAGCCAGGGGATGAGGCTGTTGAAGCAGGACGTGTTCTGGCAGCTAGAGAATCAGACAAACACCTAGCCGGGAGACTTCCACGGCCAGGTACAACTCTGCTCCTGATTACTCTCAGCAACCCACTTCTTACACTTGGGCATGGAGGACTGTCCGAAACAGGCACAGGTTCACTAGATGTCATAGAAGGCAAGGACTCCTTTTCTTGTTTCTGTGAACTGCACTTATTTTGACTGTTATTCGTTTTAATGCCTTTATCAGAATTAGATGTAGTAAGCCTTGTTGCCCTTTTCAGAGACATTCTTAGCTCCTGCGAGGATCTGCCTACATCTCCATCTACTGTCTCCCCTGACACAGAACAAGGGTCAAGGGTTTGGTTGTTGGCATGTTTCTTTACAAGTGCTGTTGATGTTGGTTCCAAGCTTTGGATACCTTTGAATGGTGCCAGGCTGGGAGATTGCCTTCCTTCCTGGGATGAGCTCATGTCAATATCCACCAAAGCAACAGACACTTTCATCTCCAAACCTTTCTTCACAGACAGACTGTTGTGATGCTTTTTCACAAAAGTATTAAGTGTTTGCTGTGACTGTGATTTTGTTTTCAGAGATGATTGGGGATCTGGATCAGATATTTCTCTTTTAGCATTCTTTGACCCTTGGGAGAGCTCCTTCACCTGTCTGACAACATGACACGTTGGCTCTACTCCGGCCTGTCTCCTTGACATCCTTTGGCGACACTGTGAAGACCCTGTAGAATCCAAACCAACTGATGCTCTTTCGAAAGAGATATGTCCATCTTCCATCACAAAATCAACAGTATCCGCATCTGGTATCACAGCTGTATTTTGAGACCTTGATTCTTGTGATGAAGGCAGAGCGCCCAAATTTTGTCCTTGCTTGATGGTGCTTGAGGCAGATCTAGACAGCCTTTTGGTCTGCTTACGTTTTACACTTACTTCTAACTCAGTCCCACACTTCCTGTTGGACACTCGCTGAGATCCATGTACTGGATGTACAGAACTGTCTGGATCTTTATCATTGGGGAAACAGTCAGAAAACCTTTTTGAAGTCCGTAATGAAGATGTCCTTGACCCTTGACTAGATGACGGTGTTCTTGCATCAACAAGAGAGGAGTTCAGAGACAGAAACGTTCCATCCAAAGACTCCAACTCACTGATTAGAGACCGCTTTGACTTGAGGGTTTGGGATGCTTGGGAGGACTGTGACAGAGACTTCTGAGAGGACATGATAAAGGCGTGGTCGCCAGGGGATTTAGAGCATGGTGTCACAGTTGCAAGGTAGTCCATCGGGTCTGGCCTGGGATCCTGATAAATCATCATCATCATCATCATCATCACATGTCATTACATTTCTACTGGATAAAAATTATCTTAACTTATCCATGACTTTTTATCAGAATATAGTGAACACATCAAACAGTTTTCAAAACAGCATAAAACTTCTTTGTCATAACCCTAATGCTAAAACTCAGGAATTCAGGGCGTCCCAAGATTCAATACCTTAGTCCGCAAGGGCCACAGGACTCCCTTTATTTCAAACACAATAAGCCTGTCAGGCATATTGCATTATAAGCATTATCATTTCCTCATCAAATTCACAAGAATTCACAAGAACACACAAGTCAATCACAAGAATACAACACCATCAGGATCAGTTAGTTTTGTACTTCAGATAGTGGTGTAACGATGAGGCGATACAGTACTGTATCCCAATACTTCGCCCACGATACCAGAGTTCCAAATAAGCTACGTATCTGCGTAAAATACGCATCAGAAATGCAGAAATACGTAATAAAATAAAATCCAAGCGTATCAAATACGCAACGAACATTACAGATACACTACAAAAATAAAACTTGTGGGTATCATCAAAATATTGTGAAGTAACCCTGCGTATTCGATTAGCAAATCAGCAACTTATTTTGAAATTATAAACGGGCATTCCGACAACAACCTTGCCAAACTCCATGATGACAGTTACATCATGATCATCACACTTTCATGTGGAAGTATCGTGGTATTTTTTAGTCCTATTAAGCTCTCGAACCTACACGACACCAGTTTGCAGGGACTAGATGAATAGTGTTATTAAATATTTAACTTAAATACCAACATGTGTAAAAACTAGTGGGTAACAGAAATTTGAATACCCAGATAGAATTACTGATACCCAATGATTTTAAAATGCATGGGTAAAATACCCACAACACCAAAAGCTTATCTGGAGCTCTGGAAACAATACATCGATTTACACCACCTGTACCATGATACATGCAAGACATAACATCACAAGTTTCTTTGGTGTATAAACATGTGATAAATAAACCTGTTTAACAACCAGCTTACGCAGATTCTCTCGTATTTCCCTGTTGGCTATAAATAGCATAACATTCACAGTGCCTTCAACATGTTCAAGCCTATTGGTTTCTGCCCTACAATAACCCATGATTCAGAGTTGTTAATCACCTACAAAAAGAAAGAAATAAAAGAACTGTATCGGAACAAGAATCGCATTGCACCCACAGTATGAAGATACGTATCGTATCATTACACCTCTAACGTGAGAAACATGGTTATGGTGCTGACACACCAAGCATCCAAACCAGGGTAACAATGGGATGCTAACTCATCCCAGTGGGATGCTAACTCATCCCAGTGGGATGCTAACCAACTCTGTAAGCAAAGCAAATGCAAAAGATCCATAAAGAGATAAAACTAACCTAAAACTAAGAGCCTGCTCAGCTCGAAGCACATCTTAACAAACAGTAAAACAACTGAAAGAAGAAGAAATTGGATATTTTACAATAAATTGTATATTTATAATCCTTATCCTATCTCACACTATGCATTTCATGCTTTTCCTTTGATCCTGGTGTGGAAACAATCCTAGAACATGTTTCCAGCATGTGATCAGACAGCATGAGATGCACGCGTTGGTCAGACCACTGAAGGCGATGGTAACCTTGGTTACGGCTGGGATGTGTTTGGATGAGGTGTTTTTATTAACCTGGAAACATGTTCTAGGATTGTTTCCACACCAGGATCAAAGGAGAATGATGAAATGTAAAGGGTGAAATAGAAAAAGTTTTAAAATTGTTCCATTTTAGATTAGTATCAAACACCAGCATTCTGAATGTATCCTTCCAAAATAAACAATCTGTGACAATAGCTACTAGTCCGAAGCCCGAGTCTTGTAAAATTATGTGTGGTCTAGTAAGCTCAGCTATTAGTAGTCCACATAATAACACTAAAGTCTACTGTAAATGCTGTTTGGGCTAGTAGACTCCAAATTTTTTTACACAGACTCTTTCACAAACATAATAGGTGCTGAGGATCTTTAAACATGTTAATTGTGTGAGTGAGTTGGGTTTAACGCCACTTTTAACAGTATTCCCGTTATATCACAGCGTGTCCGCTTAATGTGGGAGGAAAGCCCAAAGTGATGCAGGTCTTAGACGTTTACCACCCACTAGCAGGGGTATGGTGCTGACAAACCTAGAAACATAATCGGGGCGAACCGGGATTCAAACCCACAATCATAGGTTTCTGGCATGCCCAGGGGACGCAACTCTGCACAGCGAATCGCGGCACCTGAGAAAACTGGGCCACTCGTGCCCCCCTAAACATGTTTAAGTGGTAAGAGCATGAAAACTTACTTGTAAGAGATAATCTCCAATGAATTCTGGCTTGACCAGCAGAACTCCATATTCCATGAGAGACTGATCATAAAGTTGGACCGCCATCTTGCCATCCGTGAACACGTATGCTATGGTGTTTGCGATCTTTGTTGGATTGTCCACGGGCAGCTTGACACTGTAGACATCAGCTCCTCCACTCTTCAGCAATCTGGTGAATTCTGTCTTATGCTATAGTCACAACATTACCTTGACAATGGTAGAAATTAACCTGAACAGTTAACCTGAACAGTTAACCTGAACAATTAACCTGAACAGTTAACCTGGTTAACTAGTTGAACAGTGGTAACACATAAAACATGATCAGCATACCTGCCAGCCTCACACTTAAAGACTTGAGACTTAATCTGAAACGAGGGCGAAAGTTTAATTGCCAATTTATATCTACACCTGATCACAGTGGCCCCTAAGTAAGGGGTTTACCACTCATTCTGCCTACAGCTCATAGGCAGAATGAGAGCCACTGTGGGCAGAATGAGAGCCACTGTGGGCAGAATGAGAGCCACTGTAGGCAGAATGAGCTGTAAGGCAGAATGAGAAGTCACCAGTTAGGGTGTCCAACCATCAACGTAGGGGTTTATCAGATCAGCTGTGATACATGCCTTCAGACTACAGCTGTATCTCAGTAAGGGTGGCTAATAGGGACAAGTCCGAATATAATTTCATGTACCAGACCTCTATCACCCAACCCAAGTCTTCTTAAGCCATAAGTGGAAACTAATCATGCCCAAATGTAGCACTAATTTACAGAATAATTATTCATGATCGTGAAATGGGTGGAAAAATTACAGGTGATCTGTGAAAAGGTGGTCTGAATTTCCAGTGAACAATTATTGACAGGAATTCCCTACCCTCTTACAGTCATTATACAATATATTTCATGACTAACCACGGGCTGGGTAGTCCTGTGGCTTCTCGGGTTCTAATTAGGCCCCACCCAACCTGGTACCCGAGTTGCCTTGGTGCCTAAGCAGCATGGGTACCCAGGTGGCCCTGGTGCCTACCCAGCATAGATACCAAGGTGGCCCTGGTGCCTACCCAGCATGGATACCCAGGTGGCCCTGGTGCCTACCCAGCATAGATACCCAGGTGGCCCTGGTGCCTACCCAGCATGGATACCCAGGTGGCCCTGGTGCCTACCCAGCATGGATACCCAGGTGGCCCTGGTGCCTACCCAGCATGGATACCCAGGTGGCCTTGGTGCCTACCCAGCATGAATACCCACGTAGCCCTGGTGCCTACCCAGATTGCCCTGGAGCGTACCCAGCATGGGAACCCAGGTGGCCCTGGTGCCTACCCAGCATGGATACCCAGGTGGCCTTGGTGCCTACCCAGCATGGATACCCACATAGCCCTGGTGCCTACCCAGCATGGATACCCAGGTGGCCCTGGTGCCTACCCAGCATGGATATGCAGGTGGCCTTGGTGCCTACCCAGCATGGATACCCACATAGCCCTGGTGCCTACCCAGCATGGATAACCAGGTGGCCCTGGTGCCTACCCAGCATGGATACCCAGGTGGCCCTGGTGTCTACCCAGCATGGATACCCAGGTGGCCCTGGTGCCTACCCAGCATGGATACCCAGGTGGCCCTGGTGCCTACCCAGCATGGATACCCAGGTGGCCCTGGTGCCTACCCAGCATGGATACCCAGGTGGACCTGGTGCCTACCCAGCATGGATACCCACGTAGCCCTGGTGCCTACCCAGCATGGATACCCAGGTGGCCCTGGTGCCTACCCAGCATAGATACCCAGGTGGCCTTGGTGCCTACCCAGCATGGATACCCACATAGCCCTGGTGCCTACCCAGCATGGATACCCAGGTGGCCCTGGTGCCTACCCAGCATGGATATGCAGGTGGCCTTGGTGCCTACCCAGCATGGATACCCACATAGCCCTGGTGCCTACCCAGCATGGATAACCAGGTGGCCCTGGTGCCTACCCAGCATGGATACCCAGGTGGCCCTGGTGTCTACCCAGCATGGATACCCAGGTGGCCCTGGTGCCTACCCAGCATGGATACCCAGGTGGCCCTGGTGCCTACCCAGCATGGATACCCAGGTGGCCCTGGTGCCTACCCAGCATGGATACCCAGGTGGACCTGGTGCCTACCCAGCATGGATACCCACGTAGCCCTGGTGCCTACCCAGCATGGATACCCAGGTGGCCCTGGTGTCTACCCAGCATGGATACCCAGGTGGCCCTGGTGCCTACCCAGCATGGATACCCAGGTGGACCTGGTGCCTACCCAGCATGAATACCCACGTAGCCCTGGTGCCTACCCAGATTGCCCTGGAGCGTACCCAGCATGGGAACCCAGGTGGCCCTGGTGCCTACCCAGGTGGCCCTAGTGCCCACCCAGCATTGATACCCAGGTGGTCCTGGTGCCTACCCAGGTGGTCATGGTGCCTACCCAGCATAGGTACCCAGGTGGCCCTGGAGCCTACCCAGCATGGATACCCAGGTGGCCCTGGTGCCTTCCCAGCATGGATACCCAGGTGGCCCTGGTGCCTACCCAGCATGGATACCCAGGTGGTCCTCGTGTCTACCCAGCATGGATACCCAAGTGGCCCTGGTGTCTACCCAGCATGGATACCCAGGTGGCCTTGGTGCCTACCCAGCATGGATACCCAGGTGGCCCTGGTGCCTACCCAGCATGGATACCCAGGTGGACCTGGTGCCTACCCAGCATGGATACCCAGGTGGACCTGGTGCCTACCCAGCATGGATACCCACGTAGCCCTGGTGCCTACCCAGCATGGATACCCAGGTGGCCCTGGTGTCTACCCAGCATGGATACCCAGGTGGCCCTGGTGCATACCCAGCATGGATACCCAGGTGGCCCTGGTGCCTACCCAGCATGGATACCCAGGTGGCCCTGGTGCCTACCCAGCACGGATACCAAGGTGGCCCTGGTGCCAACCCAGCACGGATACCCAGGTGGCCCTGGTGCCTACCCAGCATGGATACCCAGGTAGCCCTGGTGCCTACCAAACATGGATACCCAGGTGACCCTGGTGCCTACCCAGCATGGATACCCAGGTGGCCCAGGTGCCTACTCAGCATGGATACCCAGGTGGCCCTGGTGCCAACCCAGCATGGATACCCAGGTGGCCCTGGTGCCTACCCAGCATGGATACCCAGGTGGCCCTGGTGCCTACCCAGCATGGATACCCAGGTGGCCCTGGTGCCTACCCAGCATGGGTACCCAGGTGGACCTGGTGCGTACCCAGCATGGATACCCAGATGGCCCTGGTGCCTACCCAGCATGGATACCCAGGTGGGCACTGGTGTCTACCAAGCATGGATACCCAGGTGGCCCTGGTGCATACCCAGCATGGATACCCAGGTGGACCTGGTGCCTACCCAGCATGGATACCCACGTAGCCCTGGTGCCTACCCAGATTGCCCTGGAGCGTACCCAGCATGGATACCCAGGTGGCCCTGGTGCCTACCCAGCATGGATACCCAGGTGGTCCTGGTGCCTACAGAGCATGGATACCCAGGTGGACCCTGGTGCCTACCCAGCATGGATACCAAGGTGGCCCTGGTGCCTACCCAGAATGGATACCCAGGTGGCCCTGGTGCCTACCCAGCATGGATACCCAGGTGGCCCTGGTGCCTACCCAGCATGGATACCCAGGTGGTCCTGGTGCCTACCCAGCATGGATGCCAAGGTGGCCCTGGTGCTTACCCAGCATGGATACCCAGGTGGACCTGGTGCGTACCCAGCATGGATACCCAGGTGGACCTGGTGCCTACCCAGCATGGATACCCAGGTGGCCCTGGTGCCTACCCAGCATGGATACCCAGGTGGTCCTGGTGCCTACCCAGCATGGATACCAAGGTGGCCCTAGTGCTTACCCAGCATGGGTACCCAGGTTTGACCTGGTGCGTACCCAGCATGGATACCCAGGTGGCCCTGGTGCCTACCCAGCATGGATACCCAGGTGGTCCTGGTGCCTACCCAGCATGGATACCAAGGTGGTCCTGGTGCCTACCCAGCATGGATACCAAGGTGGCCCTGGTGCCTACCCAGAATGGATACCCAGGTGGCCCTGGTGCCTACCCAGCATGGATACCCAGGTGGCCCTGGTGCCTACCCAGCATGGATACCCAGATGGTCCTGGTGCCTACCCAGCATGGATGCCAAGGTGGCCCTGGTGCTTACCCAGCATGGATACCCAGGTGGACCTGGTGCGTACCCAGCATGGATACCCAGGTGGACCTGGTGCCTACCCAGCATGGATACCCAGGTGGCCCTGGTGCCTACCCAGCATGGATACCCAGGTGGTCCTGGTGCCTACCCAGCATGGATACCAAGGTGGCCCTAGTGCTTACCCAGCATGGGTACCCAGGTTTGACCTGGTGCGTACCCAGCATGGATACCCAGGTGGCCCTGGTGCCTACCCAGCATGGATACCCAGGTGGTCCTGGTGCCTACCCAGCATGGATACCAAGGTGGCCCTAGTGCTTACCCAGCATGGGTACCCAGGTGGCCCTGGTGCCTACCCAGCATGGATACCCAGGTGGCTTTGGTGCCTACCCAGCATGGATACCCAGGTGGTCCTGGTGCCTACCCAGCATGGATACCCAGGTGGCTTTGGTGCTTACCCAGCATGGATACCCAGATGATCCTGGTGCCTCATCTAGAGAGAGTTAGGATTATCTCCTAAATGATGACAAAGATTCCTGATTACAAATATAGGAACGTGTATGAACAACGGACTAACATCACTCAGAACATAATTCAGTTTCCATAGTTACATCAAATGGTGTCAAATGACAAGCTCTGGCAAGCAGAGACAGAGTACAGTCTGCATAAGACTAAGAGGTCCTTGTTAAAAAACTAAACGCAATTGAACCGAGGCATGATTTTTTTTATCTTTTGTCTAAAACAAGTAAAATGCCAGTGTTGAACTGATAAGGACAGGTCCTGTATCAAATATATTTTATAAGCCTTATTTCTCACCTTTTATATACATGTCCTCTTTTATTGTCTGAAACAACAACAGATACTTTCCATCCCTTGAAGGCCGGTTCACCTGTGAGGGAAAATTGTAGCCGCCATCTGATTGGTGCAAGCACCAAGGGATCTGATTGGCTCTTTTGCCCATGTTTGGGCTGCCACTCAAAGTCTTCCTCAGGCAGCCACTCCTTCACACGGTCGCTGGCTGTGAGGTACTCAGGCTTCAGTATCCATCTTCCTGGAAAAATATTTTCTATGTCACAGAATCCTTTATCCTCCATTAAAACTAGCCGTCCAATCAAAATACCCTTTTCTTTCGGGATGGAAACTAACAGCATTATCACTAGTACTTGACTCACTTTGTTGCATACTGTTTCTGAGAACATTTGACAGCAAAAGGACTTCCCTCCCCTATGCTAATAGTCAGCAAGATCAGTCGTTATTTATCTTTTTGATTTGACTAAATGTCACGACACTGATTTAGAGTTTGCTCGTGAGAGGCCACAATATTGCAATTAGATCGATGCCAAACTATTATTCATGAGTCATTTCGATTGATTATTGATTTCAAGCTCATGAGCAAGAGAAATTCTGTGCCAAGCTGGTGGTAAGAGAGTTGGAGCGACACTTTTGAAAAACGGTTCTGGCAGTGAATGGATCCTGGGTATTTATCATAAACATGACACATGATGTCAGGTTAGTGGGGGTCTAAGCATGCTGAGGTACATTTTTACTATTTTGCGCCATACTGAAATTACAATTTTGATGCCTTGAACAAACTTGAGTGAGTATGGCTTAACGCCGCTTTTAGCAATATTCTAGCAATATCACGGAGGGGGACACCAGAAATGGGCTTTATACGTTGTACCCATGTTGGGAATCGAACCCGGGACTTCGGCGTGACGAGCGAACACTTTAACCACAAGGCTACCTGACCCCCCTGAACAAACTTGAACCCCCTAACAGTAACAAACATTCACAAAAAAATATTTCAGTTGGGTCCATCAAGCCATTTTAGAGAAAAAGTTCAAAATGTGAAAAGGTTATGAACAACAATGGACAACAGACAACTTGTGACGCATATGCTCACATGGCCTCTCGGGACATAAAAAGGACAGGAAGGACAAGTAAACAATTGAAACATCAACACGAGGCACAACCTCAGAAACATCATCAAAATAAAACTGATATTATACCAAAATGAAAAAGGCTAGTCATACCTGTAGCACAAGCACCCAGGTACTTCTCACTGCGAGAGAGTTTGCCACAGATCAAGTGGGTACAGCTCGCCTTGAAAGACTGAAACATTGTGATAGTTTCAGGTGAGGTGAGGTGAAATGGGGTTTTACGTCGCGTCAAAGATTATTGCACTTATATAGCGACGTGCATGTATGTGTGTGTGTTTGTGTGGCTGCTTGTACTAGTCCGGACTGATGCCGATTTATAGTGCTAGTTCACTGAGATACCATGTCGCAGTTTAACATGAATACCCCACTCAGACACAGTATACTGACTCCGAGTCGACCAATCCTTGTTTTAGCCACTTAATGCCGAACGCCAGACAGGGTAACAACAAGTACCATCTTTTAACGTCTTTTGGTATGTCATGGTCTGGGATCGAACCCCAGACCTTCCACACTCCTGGCAGACGCTCTACCACTAGACCACGGAGGCGGTCTGATAGTTTCAGATAAAGCAGCTGTATAACATGGTATAATACTTGATGGACAATACGAAAGACATGGAAAAATATTCAGGGTTTGAAATTCCTTGCCAATGTCACAGTTAAAATCATAATGGCATTGTTACAATAAGGTCCTAGGCCCTGTTCTACAAAGCGATCAGAGTGCTACAACAGTTAATGCTGAGGAAATGTTAATTTTTTGTTTTGTTTGTTGTTTAACACTGCACTCAGCAATATTCCAGCTTTATGACGGCGGTCTGTAAATAATCGAGCCTGAACCAGACAATCCAGTGATTGACATCATGAACATCGATCCATGCAATTGGGATACGATGACATGCATAACCCAAGTCAGCCAGTCTGACCACGGATAGAAAGTATATTTTGTAACACAAATGTTAACAGGGTTTTACCTTGACCTACAACACTAAGGGTTCAGAAGGCGCCCAATTATCAATTTCATAAGTCCTTAGAGGAAATAGTAGGGTCCTGGAAAGTAATGAAATGGTGTAGTGTAATGTACTGTAAAATTAAATAATTACAGGAACTTTATAATTCTTGTCAAGAATTTGGTACAATGAATATTATTGTCCCTTCAGGATGCAACATATATCTTTTCTGCACCCATTCTCTACATTTGTGTGCACTAGATGCACATTTCTGCGTGTGTAAAACCCTGTGTTAATCATAAGAAGCCATTGATAAACGTACTTTCACAAAGGTAAACTGACAAAAACACATTGAAAATGAACACATCAACATACCGGTACTTCATGGACAGTATCCACAAAATTATCTTGGGGATTCAGAAACTGTGAAGGGTATTATCAGTCTCGATAAAAATGAAGTGGCAAAACTAGCTCATGGTGAAATGTCATTTACTGAGTTTGAAGATGGATCAAAAAGGTTGTCCTTGCAAACTTCTCTATACGTTGACAGTTCCAAAGGGCACATCAACACATTGTTATCAGTGCCACATTGTTATCAAAACAGTTCTATCTCTGACATTCCTCTGGATCATAAAGTCAAGCCCTGGCTCCCTATTCATGAACTGGATGATATTTATTTATGTTATTTACCATATTTGACGTAACAAGGGCCCAGGGCACTCAAAATTAGAAATAGAGGGTTCTTATTACTATTAGAATATAATTTTGGTGAGAAAAAAAAACAGAGTTGAAAGATTGTAAATTTCGTGGTTTATGCTGACAGCCTGAAATGATACATGTGTATTACAAACAATAGATATATTATTCAGGAATTAAATTGCCCATATTTAAGGGTGCATATAACACACGAGTGCGTATTATACACAAATAAATATGTCTTGTGTACATTCATCAATCGGAAAGGGTGCTAATTGGGATTGTTCACTAGCAAATATATTAGCAAATATCGCAAATATTTACAGAGGGAAGTTATTAATCAAGTCTAACGAAGGCACACCAGTGGTCGACAGAATGAGCAATAATGCATATCTGTTGCTGGTAAAATAATGAAGAAAGTCTAAGGCTCGGAAAATTAATTCACCTAAAACACTCCAAAATTCCTCATTAGTTATTCGTTCAATACCTTTACTAAACATAAAATATGTATATACCTCAATGTCAAAATAAATTCCTCCCAATTGTTGTATAATTTTTCCATATTTCTTCCTCTCCTCGCCAGACAAGCCAGACATCAGAAAGACGTGACTTGTCTGTAGACGGGTCCTCAATGTGCCTGACATCCTGCATCTTTTGTAACATCAGTCCTTCTGGGGAAAAAGAATTGACATTCTTGCAAGTTCATCTACTAGTCGTGTTGTTGCCCTCTTAGGCCTTAGACAAGTGTGTTGTGAGTAGGGTTTTTGTCACCACCTCAAATGGTTACACTGCTCACAACAAATACTCAAATTGACATGTTTTTGTAGATCATGTATATTAGGTCAATAGAGACAGAAGGGTTAATCATTGATTGAAGGGAGAAGTTTAGAAATTTAGTAAGCCATTCTGACAATTTAATATTGGACCAAGATCTACATCAAAGTTAAGTCAAAATTCCATAATTGGAATGAAAAAAACTACCTAATTTTGGTCGTTATTATTATAATTATATTTTTATTTTTGCAAACCTGATAAAGTGGCTTATATTTTATCAAAACAAAATCAACAGTGATCTTTGAACACGTGTCTTGACAAGCTTAATATATATTCACCAGCAAACAAATTAGAAGTATGGAAGTGGCAATTCTGACAACAGATACTGTAAATATTGAAAATGACGTAAGCATGAATTAAATGCGAAAAATTGAGTGGTCTTTGTTTGAATAATTAAACTTCGCATTTATGTCTCCAAAATGACTATCAACAATAAGACGGCCTCACTGCACACTTAATAGCAGAAATAACAACTTGAATATAAACACAAAAACGGTTTATTGAGCAGCAGTTGTAACAAGTATATAACAATGTCATTCAAAGAATAGGAATTACACAATGGGCATCTGGTGAGTTATCACTGCTGGGGTCAAGAGTTCTACCCACTCGTGTCAAACTGGGCATCATTGAACACTCCAGCAGTCCAGACAGACACCACCCAAGCAACACTTCATCAAAGTCCGAAACGATCCAACGCGCACCGATATACTTCATCACACTCTTTGGATCTACAGCCTTTGTATTGTCATTTCCCTTCAAGATTGTTGACATCTTCTCCACATATCAATCAGTGCACTGTTGTTGGTTCAATTATTTTATTGCCTTTGAACTTCTTTAATGCCAGTCAAGATAATAAACATAATAACACTTTGTTGTCTTCAGGAAAACACTGTTTACTGTTTTTACGGAAGTGATCTACTCAGCGCTAATAAGCAGTGCTATTTTCTGTTGGATTGGATTAAGGTATGGTTGGATTATGGTAAGAATATGTATCATTCCACTGGGGATGGGGTGGGGGGAGTCACATTGTTATTGAGTTGCATTTATGGCTAGGGGTCAGCAGTCACATTAATTTGGAGACGCATTAATTTCATGATTAACAGTAATCATTTTTATTATTCAAGACAACTATCTCTATACCTTTAGAATACAGTACCACAAACTTTTCAAACACGTGATCATACCCTATGACGTAATTTGTAGTATTTTGTTGCCAGTCACACCGGCGAAACAATGCCCTGTGACGTCAGGGGTCATCGGGTGTGCATAAGCTCCTCCCAGTGATCTGTCATCTCTACATGAAATGCCATTGAATACGCCAAGCAGTGTGGAGAGTTTTGAATATTTGTTTACTAAATATAGCCTGAGGCAGCGCATTTTATAAAAGCAAGCGCTAGTTTACGAAAGCGCTTTTATTTTTTATTTATTTTTTATTTTGTTTTTCTCGTAATTCAAGTGGCAAAAATGGTTATAAATGTTTATGAAAGCACTTTTATTTTTTATTTATTTTTTATTTCGTTTTTCTCGTAATTCAAGTGGCTAAGATGGTTATAAATGGGAACTAATACACATATATTATTTTTTCGATTCATTAATTTTCATTATTATGCACAAGAACGCAGTTTATTAGGGATATTATATTGGCGCTGAGCACATCCAAATATTGCTAGTGTTAGGGTAGGTTACCCCGAACTCTATCCTTAGCCCTTGGATCCCCTTTACAATCAATCACCCCTTTACGATCATTAGGGTTAGGTACCCGTTAAGTGGCTATTAGATTACCCGAACTCTGTCCTTAGCCCTTTGATCCCCTTTACGATCAATCATCCCTTTACGATCATTAGGGTTAGGTAAATCTACCTGTTTAGTGGCTATTATAGATTCTATAGCAGCTCCTAATATTCTTCACACAAAAACGTTAAGTAAAAAGTATGAAATGGTTTTGTGTCGAATACTTTGGTTACTGGAAACTGTCCTGGAACATTCACACAAGCCACTTTCACCGGCGACATTTTTTCAGTACTGATTCAAAAGCGAACTCACCGTTGTGTCGTGACTAGTCATGCTTATTCCTCCCTCGTTCCTTATTATTATCCACATCATCCTTACAGTGTTCCCTACCACACTTTTCTGTCACAAAAATCACCATATCATTCATGCGTACTCGCGAGTTCGACGTCTGACGCCGTAAGCCGTTTTCAGTTCGCGGCATATCGGCTCATTCCTCACCACTAGGTATCTTGTAGATTACGGAATGGGACGAATGTGCCAATGGCATCGGGATCATTCGTAAGTGTCCATAGACTTAAGTCACGAGACACCATGCCTACCCGTAACCTTCGTAAGTGTCCGTCACCTATTCGACCCTTTTCGTTCAGTTCCGTGACGTCATAGGCATGACTAGGTAAATTTGCACAAAGTTTAACAGTGTGGACGTAGCTCAGTCGATAAGCTGTCAGGCTAAGAATCCGAAGGTCGCGGGTTGGTTGCTTGTCTTAATACGTGTGACCTATGGCAGAGATCGTCCTCACGAGAAGTTGTGGTACTGTATTCTAAAGGTGCTCCCAGTGAGTAGGTTGTGTTTTTCTCTACAACAGTGAATGTGTTTGTTTTATGCTACTTTTGTACTAGGTTAATGTTAGATTACATTAGACAGGTTAGACTGCAGTCTCCGTGAGTCTGTTCAATGTAACAAGGCATTCACATGATTTAGGTTAATGTTCCTAATTTTGCAAGGTGTTTTAGGACAAGCGATGTTTAAATTTCACATATATCGTTTTCTACACGGCCACGATGGCATTCAAATATAAATATTATGTCATCCAAATGATTTAACAACTATGATCTTACCATTGAGAGAAGGTGGATACATGCATATAATGTACAGCTGTTTCGGAGGGAAACTTCTGTTTAGGGAATATTTGATTAGCCTACCTCGGCCATGACAACTGACGACCGACAAACCTGGCCATGAAATTTGCTCAACCTAAAATTTAATAAATATCTCAGCCAACCCCGATCCCGCCACTGTAATTTCGTGCGATTGATAAACTTCAAAACAATTTCAAGGCAATTGGCATACACATGTGTGAGGCTAAATACAAATATTTCAATGTTAGTATTTATAAGACGGATGTCGTTAATACAAAGGGTAAGCAATCGACATTATTGTCAACATTCTTAACTTTATGTTTGCGATCAAAACTTACATTTGCCGCCATTATGGTTTCATGAATAAGGGAGGTTACTCTAATGATTTTAACTTCACGAGCTAATGATAGAAGTGGCTGTAAAATCTCTTTAAGTGCCCTGATAAGAGGAAATAAAGTAATTTTAACTTTATGAAGCCAGTTGTATACCTGGTTATTAAGAAAATAACCGACGAGTTACCGTACAATAAAACACTGTAATGAGACTAAACCAGGATTGGCGATAAACATTATTTTACGATAAACAACGACCACCTGTCGTTTATTCCCTGTGTGTGTGTGTGTGGGGGGGGGGGGGGGGGGGGGGGGGGGGGGGGGTGAAGAATGAACTTTAGTATTTCCCGGAAATTCTAGCATTTTTCAAGTCGACCATTTGTACCTTTTCTCCCAATACCGATTCGCCCACTTTTGAATGCTATCGTTCGGCCTTTCAATTCATCTGCGTTGCCCAGGTATATCTATGGGGAACAACTCACAAGACATTTCCCCCTAAAAAATAACGCCATCATATATACGACGTCATCAAGTTGCGAGTGCTAGTTCGAATCTCCAGAAATGACGTCATGACAGAACAATGTTTTATGGTGAGATAAATGGCGCTTCGTTCTTCACTGTTCTTTGTGATTTATCGTGAAGCTATCTTATATAAACATATACATATTTCTTCAACTATTTTAAAATTCATATGTGGCTCAATAATCGCTAACTTGGTTGATGTATGTCATCGTATCCCAATTGCGTGGATCGACGCTCATGATGTCAATCACTGGACTGTCTGGTGTAGACTCGATTATTTACAGACCGCCGTCATATAGCTGGAATATTGCTGAGTGCGGCGTTAAACAACCAACCAACCAACCAACCAACCAACTTCTACCCTTTGGCGACAACTACGAGCACGGGTATTGTGCTGACAAACCTATAGAAACATATTCGGGGTTAACCGGGATTCGAATCCACGATCATAGGTTTCTGTGCCAAAGGGACGCAACTCTGCATATCGAATTGCGGCGCCTTAGACGACTGGTCCAACCATTACTCGAAAACTTATGACAATTGTGATCATGTGGAAAATAAAGGCCAGGCCGTGTCTCTAATACACCCCGGCTCGTGTATGTCAGTTAATGTTTACTCCATTTAAAACAAAACATATTAATAAAGATGTCCCTTACTTAATCACTGTGATTCTGAGGCAAGGTCCGTAATAACACGCTGGGTCTACCAGTATAACAATAAATGTATAATACCATTTTTAAAAACATAAAATGAATGGTCCCCTACATACGTTGAAGCAATATATCTGTTTGTTTGTTGTTAAGGCCGCACGCGGCAATATTCCAATAGTGACGGCGATCTGCAAATATATGCTGCACAAAATACTTTGAATGCCTTGATAACACATAGCTACCTCTCCTATCCGTTTGCCGTGTCCTTGCCGAAAGCCCGCGAGGTTGTCCAACAGTGGATACGCGACCCTGCCCTAGGACTTGTCTTACACTGACTGACTTCCCTCGGGGTCTTGTTTTGACGTTTGGACAATACACATACCAAGTTTTTTAAAATTAGCCTCTGGTCTCAGAATGTCCACACCGATTTATTACTTATATGGTGAATTTGGAAGATTTCCTATCAGCATCCATGTTTCTAAAAGAATTATTAGTTATTGGTATAAACTCAACACGCCCCTGTCTCACTTCAAGTTATCCTCGGTACTGTACAATTTCATGTCTTTAGATAATGTGTTAAATAATCATTCTTATTCTTGGCTTAAGTTTGTTGAAAATACCCTTAACTCATGTGGGCTAAGTAATGTTTATATGTTCCCAGGTAATTTTAACAGAACATGGCTGCTTAATAAAGTAGAAACTACACTAAAAGATCACTTTTACCAAGTGTGGAGGAATGCAATAGAAGTAAGTCCCAAGGGACAATATTATAAACACATTAAGACCCTACCATCACTTGATGCCTTTATCTTATTGCCCAAATATATTTACTACCCAATATTAAAATTTAGAACACTCAATCATTGTTTACCTATTGAGACAGGGCGTTGGTATAATACTCCAAGGGAATTTAGAACTTGTAAATTGTGTGACTCTCCGACAATTGCAGACGAGTTTCATTATATATTTCGTTGTCCTGCTTTTGATGAAAATAGAAAAAGATTTATTTCAACAAAACTAACCAAATTTTCAAATATGGCATCTTATAGACGGTTGTTTACATCATCAGATTTCACTGTTTTAAGAAACCTAGCAAAGTTTATATTTGTTATCTTCTCTGTTATATCAAAACTTAGATAATAGACATGCTTATTATATCTACCACTGTTTACCTACAATATATTGTTTTAGTCCGCCGCCATTTTGACTGCTTGTATATAATGATTGACATGTTAAATGTATTCTACCATGCGTGGTTCTCTGGAGAATAAAGTGAAGTGAAGTGAAGACAGCAGTTACCTATTCAGACACGGTGTACTGACGCCAAGCCGACCAGTTTTTGTTTCATGCCATTATGCCGAGTACTAGGCAGGGTAAAGCAAGTACCATCGTTTAACGTGTTTTCGTATGACCCGACCAGGGGATCGAACCACCGACCTTACATACTCCAGGCAGGCGCTGTATCCACTGGACCACTTATTGAGGCAAATCCTCCCGTGAAATGTACACTGTATGATGATTCCTAGGTTACATCATGGTAGGACCATATTAAAGCATATATGATGAGAAATGATGCTCCCAAGGATTTGTTTTTGTGTGTCGGGTTTAACGCCGCCATGAATTGTATTAAAGATATATCAGGGCGTGTCAGCTTTACGAAGGAGGGAAGTCCGAAGTAATGGAGGTCTTAATGCGGCGTTAAAACAACATTCACTCCGGCCCTGAACGGAAAAGTCTTTCCAGACGAAATAGAGTTCTGGGTAAATGTCGGGCGGCTGTGAGATTAATGTATTCATGAATGTAAGTGATGACGATCTTGACCTTGGGGCGAAGTTCAACTGATTAATCCTTGCCCGTGTATTGACCTCACGTACCATCGGGTATTGGCGTAGTCGAGTAGTTTTGCGTTTGCTCGTCATTCCGAAAGCCCGATTTCGATTCCCGCATGGGTACAATGTGTAAAGCCTTTTTCTATCTGGGATACTGCTACATGCGGCGAGAAACCCAATCCACTCACTCACGTGGTAAACGTCTGAGACCTGCATCACGTCGGTCTTACCTCCCACATTAAGCTGACATGCCGTGATATAACTGGAATACTGTTAAAAGCGGCATTAAATCCAACTCACTCACTCATAGTATAGGAGTTAGTACAGTCGGACCCATGAGATCGCCTTATGAGAAGAGAATTTCATGAAAAACCTAATTAATGTATAAAGATGTTTCTTAACCCGCAGGAGAATTAATAGTTTCAAATTGATCAGTCGACGCCTTGTATAAACTCATACAGTCCTCGTTCTACCTACCTGTTTAACCACACACACTGTGTCCTGAATATAGGCTGTTTTTAAACAGTTCTTAATGTACGTGTTGTCACAGAAGCCGACCGTGCCAGACATGGCTGAAATGTTAAGTACACATGTAGTTTCGGAACGTCTGAGATTACACATATATTAAACGTTTCAAACATGTTTCGCACAGTAATTTCGGAACGTCTGACCCCGGTTGGGATTCCGGGTACGAAAAGGTTCCTTGCAACATATGCTGGTCGTAAGAGGCGATAAAATGGATCGGGGGCAGGCTCGGTTGATGTTTGTTTGTTGTTTACAGCTGCACTCAGCAATATTCCAGCTATATGACGGCGATCTGTAAATAATCGATTACGGACCAGACAGGTCAGTGATTGACAGCATGAGCATCGAGGTACGTAATTGGGATACGATGACATGCATCAACCCAGCCAGGGAGTCTGACCACTCAATCGCCACATACGACAAGCATGGGTTGCTGAAGACCGATTCTAACCCGGAGCTTCACGGGTAACTCGGTTGATGTATGTCCATTGTAACCCAATTGCGCGGATCGATGCTCATAAGGTCGATCACTGGATTGTCTGGTCCAGACTCGATTATTACATGCTGCCGTCATAATGCTGAGTGGGCGTTAACAACACACAAACGAAACGCCCGAATGTATCCATTATATGTAAATGATTATTTTCAAGTTCATATGTCTAAATATGGTTTAAAAATCACTATTCTGTTCTGTATCTGGTCTACGGGTTTTTCTCAAACCCCTTGGCCGGAGGTGGATATTTCTTGTATTTCTTTGAATTAGGAATGATGAAAAATAGTGCAAAGGCTTTACCAATCAGGAACCATTTGCACAAAGCGATCGTAGCGCTATTGTGATCGTAACTCCGATACTTTATCATCGACTTATGATAGTCGTAGCGCTACGGTCGTTTTGTGTAAGTGGGTCCTGTTTGGCAAAGTCTTTACTAAAGTTAAAGTATCGGAGCTACGATCATTGTAGCTAAGATTGGTTTGTGCAGGCGAACCCTGATTCTATTCCCAGGCTATTCGGTGGGCAACTAAGGGTTCTATCTTTCTTGGTCCATTCTTTCTTTAATAATGCATTAAAAAACAACTTTGGGATTGCAAACGTAATCTTCTAGTTTACTCATAGCGACATGTCAGCATTAGTCCAAAGTGGCCACACCACATGACCAAACAGTAGCACCGGACTAAACACTCCGGACGAGATGATGGCTTGACCCGACACCATGGACTACCGTAAGGGACATTCCCGCGATCTCGACCTTTTGAAACAAGCTAAGTATGCCAAATTTTGGCCAAATCTCGCGTTCTCGCTATCACGCATTCTCGTGTTTTGGGCATATTTAGCTCGTTTCCAAAAGTCGAGATCGAGAGAATGTCCCTTACAGTATTCCATATGACACCCCTGTCAATTGTCAAATGAAGTCGTGACTCGAACTCAAGGTAAGGACGGACCGACTTGCCTAACAATTCGCTTTGCGTGTACGAGGTCAGTCTGTCTCCCAGATCCCAGAGAA